GACCTCCATCTGCCAATGGCAATTACATAACACGGCTTGTATTTTTTTATGTTGTTTTCTGTCTCATCAACCTCTTACAGTTTGTCCCGTCCGACATCCTTTGACAATCGATGCGGTGGAACAAGAATGGAACCCAAACTGGAACCCGCCCATCATACATGAACACATTCTCCACGTGATTTCCACGATTCATCAGAGCCGATCATCGCTGGAAATCGACGGCCGATGCCCATTCATCAGCCTCTTCAGGGACGATCCAGGAAGAACCCACGCCTCCGCCCCGAAGAGGAAGGGCAGGACGGAGCGCGGCACACGGCACACGGCAATCCTACGACACATCATATCACACACATCACACATAACACGCATGCGCACAACCTCTTGCCTGAATCGGTACTTCCATTTACTGCGCAACGGTACCTATCTTTGTGAACGCCTCCTGACTCCAACGACGTCCTCCAGTCCTCGGCCCCCCGGTGACGACGAACCGCACTACGCTATCTACGTAATGGCGCTCGTCCTTTTTCCGCCTTTCGTCCCATCTACAGATACCTACCCATCTGGCGTACTGCCCGCGCTAGGTACTGTCGTCCTCCGCGCACATCACCATTGGCTGTAAGGCTTGCTTGCCACTGCATGCTCGATTTCTATTCCGGATCGCACCCTGGAGCCCTGTCAAGCCCTGGCATCTCTGTCCCTGTCAGGACGCCGTCGAACAACACCAATGTGCCTTGCTGATCCCGGCATGAACGCCGGCGGGCGAGTCCAGACAAGCGCTCAAAAAAACACTCTGGCTGCGGATCCGGGTACCCACGGATGCAAAAGCTTCCTGGACTGCGCAGTATCAACACACACACATGTCTGGGCATCGACTTCAACGAGAGCATACTTGGGCAGATACCCACGCCCATCACTGCAGATGCGCCTGTCGATCGTCGCTCATGTGCGCAACATCAGACACGCATCTCAGCAGAGCATTCGGAGCGGGCCACTCCATGATGCCTCTAGTACAACAAGACACGGATGCTACACCACGGAAGTTGGCCTGCTCACTACCTACTATGCAGTACCAAGTAGTGTACATACACGCTGCACCGCATCCATGGGACGATGTTCCTGTGCTTGGATGCTGGGACTGTTGATCAGTGGCCCGCCCTAGTCCGCAATCGAGGCATCGATTGGCCCGAACCGCTGTCCAGGTCTGCCCTGCCCCTCATCCTGAATTGTTCTGGGACGAATGTCAGCCTGGATCGTCGACTCCTGCTGCATAGCGCACACACACCGGCTTTGCCATCCATCCTTTTTATCCCGCCTTTAGCCCGCAGCCTCTGCTCGACATGCCCACCTGTCCAATCTGACATGCAGAGACGGTCGCCATCCTTCCCTAACGCTGTCTCAAAAGAAAATTCTTGCCAGCGAACAACCTTCTGCGGTGGAAGGGAGGGTGAAAAAGAAAGCTGGCTGGATGGCGGGTTGGCAGGCTGGGGGCAGCACGGGGGTCAGTCAACAACCAGGCACCGAGAACCAACACGGCGGAGAAACTTACACTACCTGACCTTGCCATCCATCCCTCAGGCCTCAGCAGCAAGGTGTTGGACCTTAGCTCCGACGTCGAAGCACCTTGTCTGTTTTTCGCAGCTCTGAGCTTGGGGCTTAAATGAAAGTCCCGTGTTAATACTTGCATCCCGCCCAACGGTAACTTACCTTTCACACTACTGCCGCGTCGCACCGCTCCCAGTCTGCTGCTGTCAACGCCCGCCCGTCGAACATCGATCCCGCGGACTGCCGTTCCAACTTCTCCACCAATGCGGAACATGTCACCAAGCTCTGGCGGCGGCGGCAGCTTCACCTCATTTCTCGTCCCATCCCAAGGACCGCCGCCTTTAAGCATGGGCGCTAGCGGCATCAGGTTCCCAGGGCCAAGAAAGCTAGATTATGCTGTTGCTGCTGCTTCTCCCCTCTGTGTTCCACCGGGCCACACCTCCCGACGATGTCTGTGCTGCCGTTCTAACCACACCTTCCTCACGCCCCCTCAGCGCTGCCCTAGCTGTGCCAGACTAGCCCCAGAAGCTGGGTGTGGGTGCCAATGAGGGTGTCCCTATGGTGTGGATTGGTGAGGGGTCTTGGCCTCCTCGTCCTCTTCCATGTCGGTGGCTCCTTGCCCCGACAGCCTGGGTAGGTACACGGGAAACCTCTGCGAGTGAGTGCCTGGCTTCTGCCCAGGCTGGTCTGGTCCCCTTTACCTTGAATAGACCTACCACCTCAGCATGAGCTCTCCTCCTCGCCGCAAATACTGGTGCGCCGTCGGTCTCTTGCTCTAGGGGGACGTCTGTGAAAGAGGAAGCACATGCAGATTGTACTCTCACTCTCATCTCTTCTCTCTCCGGCACACTTCGTTCAATACCATCCCTCCTCACGGTGCGGATGGTGGTCGACAGAGTCGTCAATCTCCGCCGTCTTAGACAGGATCAGTCCCACATTGTTTAAGAGTGACCTTTCAAGCTGAGCTTATAGGCTCAACGAGTTGCGACTGGACGCCCAGACTCGAATGAATCCGCGCTAGAGTCGCATGGAAGAACGCGCCTACACACTTCAAACTGCCAGACGACAGTTGTTATTTATTCAAGCATATGTAAATTGGAGCGGACGGGCCTGGGAACGCGGGTTTCAAACAATGGGTCTGGCGGCCATGTATGCGCGAGTTAAGTTGGACTAACTTGCTAGTGACAACGCCGCCTTCCATCCACGCCGGGGCGACTGCGCCCAGCTGTCACGGCCCTTCAGTCGCGCAATCCGAGATCAGGTACAAGACACCAGATCAACGACAGGAACCTCCACACATCATTTCGAGCTAGGCCGGTGTTGATCAAACTCCCAGCAAGAGGAGCTGACAGGGTCTCGAATTCGGGCGTCCTACTTTGCCAACCCCAACCCCAGCAAGCCCAGTCCAGTCCAGTCCAGCTTCAACCCCACCAGCCTGGGCGCTTGCTTTGGCTCGCCGCTCGTTACATCACTTTGGGCGAAGGACCCTTGTCTCATTATTTGCCAGGGCTTATCTGTGCCTCTTCTTTCAGATTTTGACGTCCAGTTCTGCTCCAGTGTCACACGCACTCACCTCTGGACGGAATTTGTGGCTTCGACCTTGTGGGTGAGTAGAACCCGTCAACAAGTATCGTCACCTCATCAGCCAGGTCCGACGATCCGTGCTGTTCTCTGGATGCTAAGCGTTTGAGCAGAGCAGACGGCCGTTCAGATATCAGACCCAGCTTGGGCCAAGAACTTAAGCCGCCGGGTCCCAGAACGGCCAGCCGTTGCCACATTCCTCAGTCGACACGGGTGGTGACTCCGTATCAACGCCTTGAATCGACCTACTTCTCCTCCTTCTCGCAGTGCCTGCCACGCCTCAGCCGCCCCAGCACTCACGCGCCATCCCGGAACCTTAATCGACCTAGGGTCGTCTTTTCAAACCGCTCCTCCCGAGGCTAGGGAACCACCAGGACCTTGAGCTCGCAAGGGTAACTGCGCCAAAAACCCCTTCACCCCGCGCCAGCCTCTTTCATCACTTTTCAGGACGACAGCTCTCCATCCTGGGCCATTCTTCTGCCCCATATTGCAAAGGATTGCTAATCTCCTGCCGACATATCATATCTCCGGCATCCTGAACCGTCGAAGCAAACCTGCCCACTGCCTATCCTGTCAACAACCGTTCCAACGCTAGCTTCCCTCTCCCACCACCACCGCCATCCAGGAGCATTTCTTGTGTCCATACGCATTCCACGCCGTGTCTTGCCGGGACGTGGCCGATATACCCACATGCTCGGCCACTTTCGTCTCGCTCTATGACTACACCGGCACTCAAGGTTCGGATCTGACCTTGCTCATCTGGCGGAACGTCCTCATCCTCGACCCTGTCTCTCGATCTTCGCCCCTTGTCCGACCCAAGTGAGTGGAACCGCGGCATATCTACGCATGTTTACTCGTCTTTCCCATTCTTGGTCTCCCCTCGCAGCAAGGCAAAAGTACATGCCACTCACACGTTGGAGATCATTGTCAACGCCAATTACAGCCGACTAGGTCCCTTGGCTTGTAAAGTCTGGCCAACCACAGCCGGTTCTCCTCTACTCACCAGCTGGCAAGGACTTTCGAATTTTACCGGGATTATCTTGGGCACGAAGCCTAGACACAACCATCTCGCCATCTCCCTCTAGGCATTGACTTCCCTTCCTAGCGTAGCACCTACAAGGAGTCCCAGGCATAACGCCAATCCCGCAAGCAGATCACCAAAGCGCAGGTTGTGATACCCGCCCTCCTCAACTCACCTAGTTACATTCTGGTCACTCAGGAGCCCCACCACGGCCTTTACCAACTGTTGTATGAGTTGTGGACAGAAGGTCCTGTGGCTCTGGACGACCTGGACCCCCCCCTCCTGTGTGGCACAGCTCGAGTTCTCCAAAAACAAGTCCCTCTCCAACATCTCTCGCGCGGCCCCTCTCACACCTAGGGAGTCTCCTTTTACGAAAAGCCCAGCCAACGGTCGGTATCTCCTCTGTGGCGCTGCTCAACAAGTAAGCTTCCGCCGTCTACTAGCCATCACCTCGTCGAAGTAGTGCCCATGCCTTGGTACAGGGACCAACAGTCTGTCATAGGAAACCATAGGTCTGAATCGCTCGTCCAAGCTCCTTCACCCCTCTATCTAGACGGATCAGCCTCTCAGAGGATCGGGCACCATCGACCCCACGACTACTTTCCCTGACAACTTTAAGAGACCCGCAACTTGGCTCGCTCGGCAGAATCCGCTTAACCTAGTATTTTCCAGCGCAATTCGCACCGTCGTCCCGTGTTGCCACCGGCGGTCCCAAAGGGATACAGCTCCGTCATTTGCGCTTGTGTGGACAGAGCGTGCCAACTTTGCGGGAAACGTTGGCACACGCTCCACACTACGTTCCCGTCCCCTTGTCTCCCACTCGAAATCTAGACACCAATCACCTACAACCGCGACCATGGGGGACTATTACCACCACTTTCTCACCTCCATGTCCGGAGTGGCAGCCAGCCAGAACATGAGTCCACAGGATACCCATTCTCCTCAATTCCCCGGCGGCCAGATGCCCATGATGGGCGGCGCAATGCCGGGACCTTATCCCAACCTTGGATACTTCACTGGCTTTCCCGACCCCGTCGGGCTCAGCGCCCCCAAATCCTCCCGCAATCGAAGAAAGTCGGCCCCCGGTATTGACCATGTCAAGCACCGACGCACAAGGTCAGGCTGCTACATGTGCAGAAGTAGAAGAGTTAAGGTAGGCTCGTGAGTCCTGCGCACTGCGCTTGTTGTGCTAATAACCATGACAGTGCGACGAGAGTCGGCCGATATGCGACAGTGTGTAAGCCCGGAACGAAACAGACAACCCGAAATAACTAACATGATCGCAGGATGTCGCAAGGGCAGCCGTGAGTGTATATACCCAGAACCTCCAGCAACCAAAGGCTCGGCAGCACAGACGGCAACTTCGAAAGAAGGCAACACCACACAGCAAGCCAGTCCCGACTCTTCCAACGATGCAGAGGATGGAGAGGAGGAAACAGAACCCGCCGGTCTTGACACGATTATTGACGAAGACGAGGGTGACGAAGATTCTCCGCACAAACACTTTGCAGGCCCCAGCAGAAGCAGCACAGCTTCTTCATTCAGCCTTCAGCGCTCAGGAGGAACCCGTGGAAGCTCCGAAACACCCTCGCATGAAGGAACCAAGAGTGCCTCGCCCTCGGCATCGGTGGGGACCTCGAGCAGTCAAGCCACGACTACATACGCGATGCCAAATCTGGGAGTGCTTTTTGTGAGCGGCCACGTCGATTGGTCTCATCTTCCCCTCGACATTCGACAACACCTCGAGTACTTTTGCGAAAATATCACCCACTATCATTATTGCATGCTGGCCGACGCACAAGAGGTGTTTCGTATACATCTCCTTAACTATGCGTTGCGAAACGAAGCTCTGCTTTACGCGGTCGTTGGGTTCGCCGCTTATCACCGCACAATTCAGGACCCTGACGGAAAGATGGAGGACTTTTTGAAGTATTACAACAAGAGTGTCATCTTATTGCTTAACTCTCTCAAGAGAAGAGAAAAGCACGACGTGACCACTCTTCTTACCGTGCTCCAACTGGCGACGATCGAGGTATGGAGTGACAAGGACATTGGGATCCAGGAATTAGCTAACAATAGGTCAAATAGGAGTACTTGGGCGACTGGATCAATCTGATGGGTCACCAAAAGGCTGCGTATGAGATGCTGATACACCTATTTTCTCCCGAAACCGCCAATCATAGCCCAGTTGGCCGCATGATCGTGTCTTGGTACGGCCGATTCGATATCTTCATCGCCCTCATGGGCGGGTTTCCGACGATGCTGCCGAGGCAGTGGTTCACGACAAACGTCGAGTACTGCGATAAACAGGCTGCCGTGGACGAAGACAGCATGCATTGGAAATTGGAAGCAGAGTCTGGCAGGCTCAGGGTTATCTCCAGGGATATGTCAACTTTGTTTGCGCGAGGGAGCAGGGGGCAAATATTACCGGAAGATTTCGCCCTGGAGCACGAACGGATTCAAAAAGCGCTTCACGACTGGAAAGACGGCTGGGACCACGAGATGACCGACCCGGCCAACTTCGTTACGGACTTCAGCCATGCGCGGCCGCTGACGGAGGAAGACATTGTGGACCCCTTTGCGCCGGGCATCCTATACAACTTCCCAGCTTTCGCCACAACGATGCTCACCGGCGAGTGGAACTCTACGACGATGATGCACAAATGCCAATCGCCAACAACAAAACGGATGGAGCTATATCAAGAACTGATGGGCCACGCGTACGCGATCTGCCAGATCTTCGAAGCTGTCGAAAGCTGGCCCTCAAAACCGAAGGGCAGCCTCATCACAATCCAGGCATGTGTTGCTCTCTCGGCCTTATTTCTGCCGCATGATCCCAAGCATCACATGTGGATCAGACGCAAATTCGCGTTGTTGGAGACCATGGGGTAAGTTGCCACCCTTGACTGACTGTGCAAGCTTTATGGCCGCTGACAATGAACAAAAGATACATCCACCCGATCACTCTGCGATCCAAGATGGCCGAGCTGTTCCAGGAGCCGTCCTGCGTGCGCTGGTGGCTGCCTGACGACGACGGATTCACGCCCATCCTCCAGAGTGTTCGCACCTTCGCGGATGAGCGCAATGCTAACGCGATATCGACTCAGGCGGAAAACCTACGAGAAGTGCGACACATTTTTGCCAAAATGCAAATGTATGACGATCCGTCAGCCCAAGGCGGTCAAAATCCGGCAGCGGCCTGATGTCGGACTCAGACATTGTTTGCATCAAAACTTTCCTCGAGCTTCGTTTACGCACAGCGGATGAAGACAGTGATTCGGTCCTGTCCAGATCTGGCCCAAGAGGGCCAAGAGCATTGTTTAGCCATTCGATTTATTCACCATATCCATGTTGCCCATAAACCCAACCTTACCCGTTTTCCCCTTCTTGCATCTAGGCCATGTCTTGCGTTGCGGGCCACGCATTTTGGCGTTTTTGTTCCGTTCTTCATGAGGAGGTTCACTGTATCATACGTAACTTGACCCCCTTATCTTCGGCACACTTCCCACCTTTTTCTTGAACATCCTTTTTCACCCTCAGTCCATGAGCGAAAAACAAAAACAGTCCCGCTAGACATAGACATGGTCTTGTTATATTGATACACTGTGATTGGTTGTCACCCATCACAATATTATAAAAGAAAAAAAGTACTATACATCATCGTCCTCAATTCATAACAAGAGTACACCCCCGCCTCTAGGGGGAGCAACTGCTGCGTGGCTCAACCAGGAGGAAAACATGGATGGCTTTTTTTACCGTGCGCCCACTTCCAATAGTAAAGACACCAATTAACATCACGAATCGTTCTTCTCCTTCGTCTCGGCCTCTTGGTTGGCCTCGTCTTTCTCTGCTGCCTCGTCTTTGCTGCTGTCGTCCGCTGCGTCTGTAGTCGCCTTGGTGGGTTCCTGGGCAAAGTCATGCGTGCTGACGTCCTTATCAGCCGCGTCGTCTTCCTTGGTGTCGTCTGTCTTTTCTTCCTTGCTAGCTCCACCGTCTGTTTCCTCCGTCACGGGCTCCGCCTTCTCTGCTTCTCTCGTCTCAGAAACCTCGTCGGCCTCGTCGTTTGCTGGCGATTCGCCGGCCTCTTCCTCGTCCGCCATCACAACGGTCTGGTCCGCATCATCCAGTGACTCATCCGTTTTTTCAGGCTCCGCCTCCCTCTTGACCTCTTGCACCACCGGCGCTTGTTCCTTCTCCTCAGGAGACGGGACGTCCTCCATTATCTCCTTCTCCACTATGACAGGCACGTCTGCAACCTCGGGCTCCTCCTCGACAGTCTCCGGCGCGGAGATGTGCATGTCGCGCATCTTGCTCGCCACGTCGTTGTTGTCCTCCTCGTCGGCCTCCACAACGGTCGTGACCGCACTGCCAACCGAGGGACTAGCCCTGACGTGGCGTCTCGTAGCGGTCCGGCCCACGGGCTGGAAGTTGTCGGGATCTTCGCCCGGAGCAAGGCCATCGCACTGGGGAGGCTTGACGATTGACATGGGCAGCTGCTTCTTGTCGGCGCCATTGCCATCCGGCACGGCCGTGGCAGTCTCCAGGCCCTCGGCCTCGGGCGGCAGCTTGTAGTTCTCGGCGGGGAGGAGCTCGTACATGTCGCAGACAGTCTTGAAGAAGACGTATAGACCCGTCTGGCCCTCAATGGTCCAGAACACGGCGCGATGCTGGAACCAGGCGTGGGCGAAGATGCGGTGCAGTCTTCGGAAGACGTTGACGAGGTTCTTGACGGCGACGCCCTTGTTGTGTACATCTGTCAGCACGACGAAGCGCGAGGGGAAGATCTTGGGGTCGGTGACGATGTTGGCAGCCCAGTCGAGCGTGTGGCAGCAGTAGTCAATGGCACAGCAGCTCTTAGGCTGCTCGTGGACGGCGCAAAGGAACTGCCACTCGGAAGCACGCATCTCGGGACAGGTGGCGGCGCTACAGGGCGGGGAGTCGAAGAGAAACCCGACGATGAGGGTGTTGCATTGCGAAATGAGGAACCGGCACAGCTCGTACAGCCAGAGGGTGCGGTCGATCCCGGGCGGGGGGGTCGCGAGCTGGATTGCGGTCGTGCGGTTTATCGGGGTGCTGTTGCTGTTCGTGTGGTAGTAATGGAGGGCTGCGAGGTGCTCTTGGAGCTGGAATGCCGAGTCGAGCTACATATCCATGATAATTTGTCAGTATGAGGACGGAAGGCGCACGCAGGGTAGGCGCTTAGGGGAGTCTGGTCTTATCACGACCTCGGGCGGCAAGGACAAACCTCATTAAGGGGGACCAGCGGCGGCCCAGCTGCCATGTCGGCTGCCTTGGTGCCCGGATGTATGCGGCGCCTTGAGTTGGCGTCGATCAGGGACTGCTCCATCGGGGAAGCCTGGCGATTTGACTGCGCGCCCATAGAGGGGGATTTGGGGCCGATCTGGATCTCTGCGGGCGGCGGTGGGCTGGGCAGCCGGGGCGAGCTCGGCGCCATTGACATGGTGCGAGAGGAAGGTATACGAGAGGCGATGCTTGCGAGCGACAGGGAGGAAGACGAATGCGTTGTCGGGAAGACTTTCGCGGGAAGATGGTGGGAGTGTGGTGTGTATTGATCGTCGGTGATGGTATCGTGCGAAAAGTCGACCCGAGACGGGCGGCTGGAGCTCTCCAAGTCACACAGACAGCCACACACACACGCCGTGGGCACATTGGATAGAGGAGGTACCGCAATTTGGGGGCCAGAGCTTCCCGCCCAGTTCAGGTCGGACAGAGCCCCTACAAGGCTTAGTCAGGATCTGTCCTCTTTTTCCCCGGGATGGCCAATATTAGACTGTCGAGTGGGGCCAGTCGACGTCAAATTCGCAGTTTGCAGCGGTACGTACCTTGGTGTAGCCAAAGCTGCAATACCTCATCTCAGTCGCCTGCCTGCCTCACGTCTTGTACGTAAAACACGCCTTTTCAACGACGATCATAGACGTGCTTCGCACAAAACTGCGGACTCAAGTTTTCTCAACCTGGGTTCTGAGAAGCAAACCTAGACCGTCATAACTCAGATTTGCACTTACAGAAAGACTACTGGTCCGAGCACAGTCACAGGGTTCCCCTCCATTCTGCACCATGGATTTCGACGACGATGCCCCGCCTGATCTGGTCGAGGCGGGAACTGTCGTTGATGAGGATCTGCCACCGTCCGACAAACAGATCAAAGTTCCCATCACCATCGTAACGGGATATCTGGGTGCCGGAAAGACGACATTGTTGAATTATATCCTGACTGCTCAGCATGGAAAGAAAATTGCTGTGATTATGAATGGTTTGTCTCATGACTTTGCCTGTTGGGGTTGAAATCTAATGTAGCGCAGAATTTGGAGACTGTCAGTCAAAGCAACTAAGTGCATGGAAATGATGCTAAACCTAATCAAGCACTCGATATCGAGAAGTCTCTCACTGTCAACAAGGGCGATGAGCAGGTTGAAGAGTGGCTTGAAGTTGGCAACGGATGCATATGCTGTTCCGTCAAGTAACACTTCCCATTGAGACACGTGCCTATCAGACATGCTAACCTTTGAAGGGATACTGGTGTTAATGCGATTGAATCCCTCATGGAAAAGAAGGGCGCGTTTGATTACATCCTCCTCGAAACTACAGGTCTTGCGGATCCTGGTAATCTAGTGCCCCTCTTCTGGGTCGATGATGGGTTGGGCAGCACCATCTATCTCGACGGCATCGTCACACTCGTCGACGCCAAAAATATCCTTAGCAGCCTCGACGACCCCTCCGGCAAGATCGAGCTCGAAGACCAGGAGGACGACCATGGCCACGGTCCGCTGATGACTACAGCGCATGTGCAGATTTCTCATGCCGACGTCATTGTCATCAACAAGGCTGATTTGGTGTCCGAAGAGGAGTTGACGCGTGTTCGGACCAGAATCGAGTCAATCAACGGCTTGGCAAAGGTCCATGTCACGCAGAAGAGCGAAGTGCCGAGTTTGGAAGGCTTCTTGTTGGATTTGCATGCGTATGATCAGGTCGCAGAGCTCGATTTGGGCCAAAAAGGGCACAGCCACCTTGACTCTGTGCGTCCCCCCGAGATGAACATCACGCTTTGTTGGAAGATCCTCACTGACTTGGCCGCAGACCATCTCTACTGTCTCGATACCCGTGCCTAGATTGGGACCTAGTCAACTTGCCAACGTCGATAAGTGGCTGAGAAAGATCCTCTGGGACCGCCGCTTACCTGGGGATGATAAAACTGTTCTCGAAGTGCACCGTGCCAAGGGTCGGCTTGTATTTGAGAATGGAGACGTGAAGCTCATGCAGGGTGTCAGGGAGATTTTTGAGATTCTTGACTCGCCCGATCAGACGCGTGAAGCAGTGGGAGAAGGCAAGATCATTCTTATTGGAAGGTATCTCCAGGGCGTAGACTTTGAGAAGAGTCTCTTGGAGACTCTCAAGTCGGATGCGTAGAAATAGAAGCACTTGCAAGCCGAAGTCATGATATTGGTGCGCATGTCGAGGCTAATGCGTCACGTCGTCGATATGTACATTGTTTCAATGGCCAGGAAAGCAGCGAGCGTCACTCTGACCCCAACAGCCCGATCTCATCATTTAAGGTTCGCAAACAGATTGTGCACTCGAATCTTCAGCAACTCTTCCAGGTACGTTGCCTCGACGTGGTGGAACCAAGAGCAAGTCTCCATGCCAGGACCACGGCCCTGGCGTAATACTTTGTTGGATGTAGCTTTGGGTGCACAGCAGACGGTACGAGTTCTCTCTCAATGTAGTCGAGTCTGCAGACGAGCGATGCAGGTGGTTGGCAGCTAGGAGACATCTGCTCACAAAAGGCAATCGCTTTCCAGGAAACGAATAAAGACTGCTGGCGGTGATGAGAAGCACAACCCGACAATCAGAGCTCTCGGGGGATGCCGTCTCCAGGCACCAAGTACAAGGGTCATGTAGCCAGACATGGGTCACATACTGATACGCCATGGGTGAACCAACGATGTTGGATGCTGCGCCCGCAATAGACTCCGAGTCTGGACCCTTCAGGTCATCATCCCATGTACTCGGAAAGGAAGCGATGTCAAAAAAGGCTCTAGAGCGTGTAGCGCTTGCTCGCACTGGCTGCAGGGGTTTTGGAGGGGCTCTGGGCGCACAGGCCATCGGGTCCATCTTTGACCGGTCTTCCGTGCGTTAGCGTTGACTGAGCCACTCGACCTCTCGACGCCTGTACACCAACAATCCCCGTAGAGCTTCATCCGTTGGTAGCTTCGTCGACAAAAATAATCTTTCGAGCGAATCCGACCCATCACCGATCCGAATTGAGCCCCGAGCCAGCCCCGAACACGAACGTAACTACGCGATTCTCGATTGCGACCATACAACTCACGAGCCCTAATCATGAATCGACCAGGTAGGCCAGATCCTCGCCCATCTCCTTTCAGCCTCGGGGGTACCCCGCCGTTTGCATGTCCATCAAGGCCATCTCCATCATGCCTGCCAATACGAGTCCCCCTCGACTCTATATCCTCCATATGCCTACGTAGGATGCTGCGATAACGCACGCGACTTGCCCTGCCACCCTCAACCTGCCCACGAGACCCCGCCATCGCCATCCACCATGGGATCATCAGGCTCTGCGCCAGGGCAAACAGCCGTAAAACGTAGTCTGGCAAACAAACGCGCGACCTCTGCCATACATTTTCCATACCATTCAGCCCCGAAGCCAGTGGAATCTCGTTCAAAACAAAGCCGCTTTCCAAGTTCTCAAAGCTGACAATGGGGCCCCAAGTAGGAGCAGTTCCTCAATCACTTCGAGGCATACCGACAGGCTTTGGTGGCCAACAGCAACAGCAGCAGCAGCAGCAACAACAACAACAACAAGCAGGAAGGGCAGTGTCAAATCGGTTACCAAATGGTAAACTAGGTAGGAGGACAGCCTTTGTCCAGGCGCAAGCACGTGCTGGAACATCACACAGATAAAGAGAGATCGCGACGTTAACATGGTGTGCTTGGGATCTGTAGGAAGTAATGGCAGTGGATGGGCATTTGGTGGAGGAGTGCCTATGGGAGGTGCTGGATTGCAAAATCCAGCTCGCCAGCTTGGAGGCAATGTCAGTTTTGCGCAGAGCTTAAGCGGGTCGCAACCGGCAACACCACTGGACCTTTCGTACGTTCCTTCCCCCTTCAAGCTGAACAACTTTGCGCACACCCTCCCTCTCGTCCTTGTTATTGTTGTTATTGTTATTGTTCCCTCTTGCACCCTTTCCCACTCCCGGGAGCCACCCCAGCACTCGCACCTGCATTTCCGTCCTCAACCCACGATCACTGGGGGCAACAGCCATACCAGACAACAGACGCGCCTCCTGCTCCGCTCTGTCAGGGATCATTGTACTACCAGTCTTGTACCCTGTAGCCCTTCTTCTCCTTTTCATCATGGTCAGCAAGCGCAAGCGCATTTTGCTTCAGAAAAGCAGGAAGCTGAGGGACAAGATGGAGTCCAAGGAGCCCTCATCTGAGGATCACCCCAAGAAGGGCTACGCCGAGGTTTTGAAGACGTAATTTTATTTCCCATGGCCTCTCCTCTTCATTTCTCATTTTTCTTCTATCGGTGGATTTTTACGTTTTTTTTTGGGATGGTGTTGGTGCTGACTTTTGAAGTAGCGAATTCCCCTCGCTCTCCAACAACGCCCAGATGAACAGCAGCGGCCAAGCGAACATGTGGTCGTCAACGGCTTCGCGGAACTTGGGCAGTGGCCCTGTGCCACCGCGGAACCAGTCGACACCGTTGTCTGCTCAGACCGCTCAGGAGGAGCTCTTCACTCCGACTTCAGCTCGCCAAGGCGGATTCCGATTCGGTACTCAGAACAGCGGAGGAGCGGCGACCCAGGCGCCGTCTAACCCGGCGGACGATTTCCCACCGCTGAACCGTAACGCGAACGGTGAGATTGGCGGCGAGCGCGGTGTCAACCTGATGCCCTCATTGGGCTTTGGCAACCAGGCAAGCGGCGCGGCCGCTGCGATACCTCCTAGTCGTGGCGCAGGAAACGGCCTGCTCAATGCTCTCTCCGCGAACAGCAGAACCTCAGATGACCGTTCACCATCTGCCGCCAGCGGCCAAGGTGAGAAGAATCATAATGGCTCACATCGCTCTCATACTCACACATACCAGGCCAGTCAAGATCACAAGAAGTGTCTGTGGATGACAGCAGACAGAAGGGAAGCGCTTTCCGCGAGGAGGCTTCTGGCGATAGTTCATCTCAGTCTGCCGAGAACCGCAATCCTTTGGGTGCCATCGGCAACGATTCACTCACCGGCAAGGGCAAGGAGGAAAAGGACGGCCAAAGTCTGGAGGTGCAAGATCCTTTGGCTGGCCTGGCACCTATCGACAAGTTCGGCTTGAAGGGCCTGCGCATGTTGATGACTAACTACCCCAGCTACGGAGCGCTCATGCAGGGAATGGATCCCAACGAGTTCGGTCTCAATGTCAACTCTTCAGAGTAAGGGACCCGAGGATGTATGATGTGACCTCCTGCTAACTGGACAGACTCATCTCAACCCAGATCTACTCTCTGTTCGATGACACGCCTCCCCGGCCCGCGATTCCCAACGTCCGCCTCCCTGAGTGCTACAAGGTGACGAATGTGCAGCCTATCGAGACAAAGATCCCGTCGTTCAACGAGGAAACCCTCTTTTGGATCTTCTACAGCTGTCCTCAAGACATCAAGCAGCACCTGGCTGCGCAGGAATTGTGGGGATATCCGTTTCCTCAACTCACCAGTACCACTGCTAACTCTCTGCAGGCACACACGGAACTGGCGTTGGCACAAGAAACTGCACTTCTGGCTGACCAAGGACGAGCTCATGATGCCCGCTAGCCTTGGCCCGAACCACGAGCGCGGTTACTACATAATCTGGGACACTATCAGCTGGCGTAAGGAGCGGGTACGTCTCACTGTTTACCCCATAGTCCTGCAGAAAACTAACAAACGGACGCAGAGAGAGCTTACTCTTCACTACGGCGACTTGGAGACGAACTTGGCACCGGCAGCATAAGGTGTTCTGTTTTACTGGCTTCCTCATCAACTTGATGAGGCTCAAAACGGCTTGATACCTGGGTAGTTTACCGAACAGGCGTTGAGTCATGTGGATATGGCATCGTTTTACAGGCTTCCGGACTGAAGCAGGGGCAGAGGGCGATAGGCCTTCATGCTTTGTGTGTATGATTCACTGGTCATTGGGAATTACGGCGGCCGTCAACGAAGGGAAATAAAAGACGCTGCCGAATCTGCGAAGCACTCTCTCAGTTCCAACCGTAGAATTTTCCTCTGAGTGCCTGTCGAAGTAAGACAGATTTGTTGTTGCCCACGTTGATGCGGTTACTCAGGCGGCTCTGTGGGTGGTAGCATCGCCTGCAGGCAGGACCGGGACGCTGAAAGTGAAGTGCCCCGTGCGCTCCTTCCCTGTGCGGAAACCTCCGGCTTCTTCGCGCCACATACCTCCTAAGCTCCTAGCCCCCTGCTCCCTGAGCAAGGCTGATGAGCTCATCTCCATAAAGGCTGCCAGCTAACTTACATAACTACCGCGAACAACGTACCTGTCCCGATCGCATACTTATCACGCCCAGCGGCGATTCGGACCCCCCCGCGTCTGACTTCATCAACGAAACCCACGTGAGGCGAGCGAACAGCATCTTTGCCAACCGAGGAACGTAATCGCCAGGGTATCATTGCACGCACCATCTCTGACCCCTCGATCGAAGCACTCCGGCCAGTCCGGCAAACAACGAATACGCCCTCCACTCGCAGTCATGGCGAACGAGCAAATCTCGCTCCCGTATCTGATAGTGATACTGCTCGTCACAGCATTTGTGATACGGTTCCTCTTCTTCTCGCCATCACCGCCACCGTCGGCATCGGCATCCCGGCAGAGCGCGGCATCAGTGCTGCGCACGCGCGAAGCTGCTGTCGAGAGGATACAGCAGATGTTCCCCCAGGTGGATCGACGGACGATTCTATGGGATCTGCAAAGGAATGGAGGCAACATTCAGGCCACGTCCGAGAGGATCTTGGCGGGACGCATGGAAACAGTAAGTGTCCAATGTCTTTGAAATGTGGACTGGGCTACGATGCAAGGGCAGTTGCTGCAGAGAACTGTTGTGGCACTGAGTTCGCGATTCGCTGTTTATGGACATGTTCAAAGGCAAAGCGCATTGTGCTGACCGAGATACGTTCAACAGCCCCCGGTCACCTTCCAGCCACCTCCTCCGCCGGGAACTAGCCCAGCGGCAGCAAGCGCCGCCACCGCAGCAGCCTCCAAGGCCGCCGAGAAGCCTTCGCAACCTGACTTGATCACGAGATACAAGCTGCAAGACAAGATCGCACAGCAGCAGGCGGCAGCGGCAGCAGCGGCCGAAGCAGAGAAGGATAGGGGCAGCAAGGGATGGAGTTCGAATCGAGATGAGAGGCAGGCGCTGTTGCAGAAGCGCAGAGACGAGATGATTCTGGCGGCGCGGAGGAAGATGGAGGCCAAGATTGCCGCGGAGAAGACATCAAGCTAATGACGTTTGTCTGAGTAAACGGAGTTTCTTGTTAGGGGAACAGAACGGAATGGGATGGGGCAGGCAGAGCGCAATGTGCATTTGAGGGGTCTGTACACATTCACATTACTCACAGTCACAAACAACAGCAGATATAATATCTTTCAATTCAGTGGATAGCGTTGAAGGAAGACAAACATTATGGGCATGGGGTAGTGCTTTACGTCAAAGGGATGATGTTCCCGTTACCATGTTCCCTATGTGATTCCGCAGGCGGGAATCCCACATGGGTGCTAGCGGGGATCGCCTCGAGGGAGGGCCGTGGAGGCGCGATGATGGTAGATGAGATGAGCATGTGCTTGCCGACAAGCACGACTCAGGATCCCAAAAAAGTAGGGACCGCCAATGCAATGCGATATTGTACCGTAAACGCTCACAACTAATTCTCCTTCAAAGTCAACCATCTTGGCTGCTGTTGCGACGATGTTCTGCTGACCTCCTGCAACTCACCCATCACTCGAGTTTATGTCAGAGACTGATTTGACAGCAACTCAAAAAAGTATGGTTGCAAAGATCTCGTTGGACAACCCCCCCTATCTATTTGCTGGCTGATTTGTTTCATTTGCTGGTTGCGAGCGCCAGAATGCTTATCGAATGCCCCCCCAATTTGTTTCATGAATCAGAGTTGTGTCACCTTCCTTCAGCCACATGTTCAACTCAAGTGCCAAGTGAGGCTCTCGTTCTCGCGGAGTGGGAGGCTCAGTTGAGTCAATTGAGAGGTGCCTGACAGAAGTATGTCTCACTGGGCTATCCGGGAGGCCTGGCTGCCCTTCGCAACGGGGCCCGATTAATCTTGCGTCTTGTCTTACACGTGCGTCTCTACCGGCCCCCTCCGGTTCTGCGCATTCGTGCTCTCTTATCTTTCATTTTATACGAACACGTCTCCCATCAAAGTGAGGTGTTTAATGACCTTGTGGGGGTTGAGCGTGATGGCGCAGGAATGTGAGTTTCTCAGGCAGGTTATCTCTGCTGGCGTCATTCAGGGCATCCGTCGCGCGCGCGCGCGCACGCAAACGCATGTGCTCTTTTGTAATCAGGGATTCGGTGGTCTCCAGCGGAACACATGAGCGATTGTGAGCCACACGCAGGACCCAGAGACCCAGTTTCGTTTCCACCTGGCAGCAGTTTAAATGTGCTTGTGTGCCTCGGGGACGAGGTCGGCGGTGGGGCTTGACTCGGGTGCAGCGGTGTCGTTGTTGTCCTCGGGCCTGAGAAAAAGTACTATTACAGAACACACGTGGGGGGCGGGTTCCCCTTCCTTTGGTGTCGAGTCTAAAGTTACACCGCCCTCTGGAAGAATATTCCCTTGGGAAAGCCGGAGTCGGATCCGGGTCATACAAAGAAAAGGAATAGAGACACTGGGAAGCGTTCCATCAAAGGGAACACAAACATGGACACCCGACGTCCTCGCCCTCCCTCTGTTGGAGTCTGGTTCGCTGGACGTGGTTGGCTGACGGTGCCCCGATGCGGCGGGCTAACTCTGCTTGGCGCCGATGTCAGATCCCCCCTCGAGGTACCTACTGAGAAGGTGTTTCGTTTTGCGGTTTCTCTGAATCCCTCTGACTGGGCCAGTGCACGCTTCTTGACTGACGCCGAGAGCATTCGACATTGTTGGAAACAAGTCCCTTAGAGACGAGACTACTCTCGTCCCGAATCAAACCAGCGATCGCAAAAGACCCTGCAGCGGATGTCAAAAACAATCCGAGGTTTTGTCTCGTGGTGGGCAGAGGAAAGAAACTAGCAGAGAAACGGCGTCTGGTGGCGAACAGCCACCCATACAGAGGATTTATTAGAGAAAGAACATCCGCAATAGTTCGTCTTTTGCTGTGTGGCGGGGCCCTCGGGGAAAGTCACAGAGACGGAGTGTGGTCACTCTCTTGGATGTGTGTGGGATGGAGGGGGGAACATGTCGGGATGGTTCCAAGATGCGGCGGCGTGGGCTGGCGGCTGGATCTCACTCGCTGCGTTAGTGCGTGGTGATTTTCAACCGCTTTTCTGCTTCTTGATTTGCTTCGTCCACTGCTGATCCGTCCAGTTGCTCAAGTCTTCTGCAGCTGGTTGAACAACTTGTTGACGATGTTGCACAGCAGACAATGACATGCTGGAACCGCATATGACGCTGCAGCCGGGAGAACCCCTGTAACATATGGCGTGCCATATCTTCGCGAGTTCTCTTGGGATAAGGCACCTTCATGCGTCGCATCGCGCCATGATGAACATCCAGTGCAGTGCTTTGCCCACGGTTGTTGACAAGGAAGTATTCGGCAAGGAATTCTCAGAAGCAGACACCTAGAGACGGGTACAAGACGGAGTCCGGTACGTACCCGGTGGCATGGGTGGATCAGATAGACGATAAGCCCCGCTTCGACCCAACATTTTTGTCTTTCACATGCTAGAGGGACGCTACCGCAACGAGGCGTTCCAAGTACTCCCGGTCGAGCTCACTCTCACCTCAAGTCATGGGCGACGGGGGCGTGCGGTTTGAGCTCCCGGGGCCCTTCACACACTGACCCGACCACGACTCTCACTGCGGTGGACTTGCACCCGTCTTCCGCCTTACGCTTTGTACGCCGTAGGTACTAAATGCGGTAGCAAAGGCGCAGTGGTTACAGTCGACGTAAACAACAACAGCGCGGGGGACGCAGGTAAACAGCTAGCCACAAGACTCTTAAAGCAAGACAGGGTACCTCGTGGATGCATCTCCCACTTCCCCGGCCAGTCACCCAGTCCACGTTCACCTCGTTCTGAGGTAACTTTTCGGACGGGACTCTTCCCTCGTATCATCCCCATCCCCGGCCACCACCGATTCCCATCCGCCCACCGCCTGGGAAAAGGAAAAAGATCCAAAAACGGCCAGGGCCTACCGGCCAGACTCCAGGGTTACCCTTTCCTGCTTGGCACCTTGTCGTCTCGTCCCTCTTCGCCGCCTTTATTTTTTATTTGCTCTTGTACTCACTCGAGATCCCATTTTCTTTGTCTCACTTCACATTCTTCAACCCACGTTTACTTACAGGTTCATCCCACCAAGTAACCATCTGCCAAACCTCTACTTTTTCTCGCCTTGCTGCTCTGCAACCCTTGTTGCTACCAAGCCACATCTCGAAGACAGGAATCTTCTCTCCCCTTTACCTCGGAAGAACAGCTACCTGCGCAGACGCATCGGAGACGTTCCATTGGCGGGCGATACCAACATCTCCAGACCTCCCCTCACCCAGCATTCCCGGATTGCTAGAAAGCGCGCGCTGGGCTAGAACACCTACCGTTGGTCGACGACATTCCTGATCTCGCCCAAACCGTCCTCGATCACAGGCCAGGAACTCACCTGAAGGCCTATTTCTCCGAATTCCCCAGCGACTCGATTTGTTGTGGTACTGCGATACTAAACCCGGCCGCCGGTGGAAGAGACCCGAAAGACACATAATGCCCCCCTTGCGACCTTGGGCAACCATTTTCGAAGAATTTCATTTGCAGCAGAGTAGAATGTCATCGACAGTTTTCTCAATGCTTCCCACGTCACTACAGGCGCGGCTGCCGCTGCCGCCGATAAAACAGCTCCGCAAGACCGTGAGCCTACAAACCCTCACCTCCAGCAGGCAATCGCATACCCGTTCCCTCTCTGGCCTCGACGGCGTCCATTCCAACACCACCCAGTCCCACATCATTTCAGAGACGGAGGAGCACACGAGGCTGGTGGCAACCGAGCACCATCAGTCATCGCGGACGTACGAGGTCCGATCGGCTGCGGACAAGCAAGAGTATCAACAACAGCAAAGTGAGCACCAGGTGCAGCTGCTACAGGCCCCGCAACAATCGAATGTGGATTGGCGATGGGTCCAACAAGGTAAATGCCAATCTACTTAATTCTCAGGTCGCCTTACTGACTTGAGTGTGCTTTAGGTGTGAATCTGATCAACGTGGCTCGCGATGATACTCGTCGCCCACCTACCATGGGGCCGGGAGCGGAATTTGAACGGAAAGCTTTCATCGACGGCGTTGAGTACATACTCAAGGCTCTACCAGGAGATCTGAATGACATGGAGATCGACCGCCTTCGTGCCTCTTTGCCGAATAATCTCAGATCCCCTGCTGGTGACCGGTCGCATTCACCGTCACGCAGCCCGAGTGGACCGCGATCAATTCTCCACCGAGGCGTTCAGACGGCCGTTGTCAACATCTTCATCCTCATTCACCTGGCTTTACCATACATTGTCCTTCTCATCCGCCTGGCCGCCCGTACCGAGAGAGAATACAAGCTATCCGAGAGAGTTGTGGGTTCCGGCATGAGCTTCGCCAATACCGTTGGCAGCTTCGGCATGAGAACTACGGGCGCTCTTTACAACGTTGGTGACGGCCGGGTCGGACAAGCACTCACGGAAGCGATTGCCTGGACCGTGGAGGGGTTCACGGGCGGTCTTTCCGAAGGAGTTGGTGAGGGTCTGAGCATCGTGGGCGCGAAACGGCAATGATATGAACGATAAGGATACAGAATCCAACGCTACGAGATGCCTCTCGTTATTACCCAGAAAGGGCATTTTCTTATCATCTATCTTGGCTTTAGACTTTCGGAGTACATTTCTGGGTTTTGTGTTGGTTCGGTCGGCAGGTCTTTGGGAACGACTGGAGAGAGGAGTTCTTTTGGACGATTTAAACATTACGAAGACCACTGTGGTCGAAGCGAGGTATGGGTGCTGGCTTGCTGGCGCGAGTCAGGATATGGGCGTTTCCAATCTACCTCACTTGAGAGAGACCTGATGATCTAGAGTGGTTGCATGCATTTATTCTGGTCAAACCCATCTAGCCGTCGGATACGGCAAGAGATGGGTGACACGGGTAGACACGAGCCTACGTGGGATTCTCGATAGCTCAAAATGAAGAAACACTATCATGACACTGACAGCAAACTGACTCGTTGACATCGGCGCTGATCCAGCACGAGTTTGGGTTTCGCATGAGCGCCTCGGGATGGCCCCGGATTTCACATGACGGGAAGACATAAGTGCAGATAACGTGTGTTTCTGAATCCACTTGCCTGGGCCGTCCGCCTTACTGGAAGTGGAGTTGCTGGGAAAAGCGCAGAGTTACTCAACGAGTTAACAAATAAGATGAGAAACCCAAGACAACGACTCTGTTGCGTTACCATCCATTTTCTTCTGTTTGACGCCAAACACTTCCACAAGGATCCAGTGTGCCGCCGGAGCCAACCGGGGCGCGCCCTTGAATGGCTCCACGACTGGTCCCTCGATGGACCCACAAAAAACTTATCGAAGACGTCTGATTAGGCCCGAGACCAAAAAAAAATCCATCGCCTCCCATCCACCCCCCAACTATCGCAGTTCGACGGTGAAAAAACAGAGCAAGACGTCTCCGTCCCCGTACCTTCATTCATTCCCTTTTTCATTCAAACTACATTGTACTCGCTTCTTTTCCAGGTTATACCGCTCTAATACGTCTAAATGTTTCGCCAATCTCTTAGGAGATGTGTTCGCATCAGCGGCGCAAGCTTCGCCGCCCCTGCCCTCCGAACCACGCGACCGGTCGTCCTCAAGTCAATCGCCCAGCCCTCCCAGATTGCGCTTCGTGCGCCTTCCAGCTTGAATGCCTTCAGGCTCTACTCGAGCGAGGCCGCGGCGGCTGCTCCTGAGCAATCGGCCGATGCCCCCCAGCAGAAGTCCGGTTCCATTTCAAGATTCGAGGACCTGCGCACCCTGGGCGTCCACGACAACCTTGTCAACAGCATCACCAAGGGCTTGAAGTATGAGACCATGACCGATGTTCAGTCCAAGACTATCGAACCGGCGTTGAAGGGAATGGACATGTAAGTCTCGAATTGCTTCTCTTCCAAAGTGTAAACTCGCTAACTGACTTGTTCCAGGGTCGCCCAAGCCAAGACCGGTACTGGAAAGACGCTTGCCTTCCTCGTTCCTATCCTTCAAAGAATGATCTCCGCGGATCTCTCCCTCGCCACTCGTAGAGCGCGCTTCTCTGCCGACGCCTCCGACATCCGCGGAATCATCATCTCTCCCACCCGCGAGCTTGCTGAGCAGATCGCCGTTGAAGCCGAGAAGCTGTGCCAGGGCACCGGCTTGGTTGTCCAGCGTGCTGTTGGCGGAACCCAGAAGCGGCAGATGCTTATGGAGACCCGCAGGCGCGGATGCCACTTGCTTGTCGGAACGCCCGGTAGACTCAACGATCTCCTCAGCGACCGAAGCAGCGGTATCAGGGCCCCGAACTTGGCTGCCATTGTCCTCGACGAGGCCGACCGCATGCTGGATGTCGGCTTTGAGAGAGAACTGCAGGATATTGTTTCGCAGTTGCCCGACGCTAAGGAGACTCAGCGTCAGACTCTCCTCTTCTCCGCCACCATCCCCAGCAATGTCATCAACCTCGCCCGCCAGTGGGTCCGCCCCGACAACTTCGACTTTATCCAGACCGTCTCCAAAGACGACGTGCTTACCCACGAGAAGGTGAAGCAGCATGTTGTCAACTGCAGAGGCTGGGGCAACGTGCTTCCCTCCCTGTACGAGCTCATGCACACTGAGCTCGAGAAGCGTGCCAAGAACCCTGACCTGCTGCCTTTCAAGGCCTTGGTCTTCCTTCCCACCACCGGCTTTGTTGAGCTGGCCAGTGAGATCGACCGAAGCATGAAGCATATGAGAAGCCAGTACGACCGTGTCTGGAGCTGGCGCATTCACTCCAAGCTCACCCAACCAGCGCGCACCAAAGCTGCTGATCAGTTCCGCGCAGCGACTTGTGGAATCCTCTTCTCCTCAGACGTCACTGCCAGAGGTTTGGACTTCCCCAATGTAACCCACGTCATCCAAGTCGGCGCCCCCAGCGACCGTGAGCAGTACATTCACAGACTCGGCCGCACTGGTCGCGCGAAGAAGGAAGGAGAAGGCTGGCTCATCCTCCCCGAGTCCGATATCCGGAAGGCTCGTACCGAGTTGGCTGGCCTCCCAATTGAGCCATCCGCCCTCGAATCTGCCAAGGTCGATTTCACCAGGGGAGAGACGTCCAGTGAGATTACCAAGGCAGTTACTAAGGTTGCGTCCGAGGTTCCCGAGGAGATTCTCGAAAAGGCCTACTTGTCTCTTTGGGGACAATTCGACAGCAGAACGGCGCAAGCCAAGGCGGACGAGCTCAAGGAGTGGTGGATTGATGGTATGCAGAAGGATAACACGCCATTCATGAGCAGGCAAGCACTTGAGAAGCGCGGCATCAGGAACATTCGGGGCATGAACACCACCTCCCCTAGAAGATCCAGTTACGAAGATGACCAGCCTCGTGGTTACGGTCGTGACTCTGGTCGCGGATTCGGTCGTGATTCTGGCCGCCGTGACTCTGGTCGCGGGTTCGGTCGTGATTCTGGCCGCCGTGCCCCTCGCGACGGATTTGAAAGGATGGAGCAAGACCGCTTTGGCGACAACAGAGGAGGCCGCCCTCAGCAGAGATCCCAGAAGGCATCTTTCTAAGCTGTAGTCTCTAGGAGAAAAGAACGATTGAAGTGGAGAGAGAGGCCCGTGATGGTGACGGGCCTCGAAACGTGTTAGACATATCATACCCCACCACACCCCAAATTTCCCTTTGATCTGTCTAGGAGGCAGATTTGTATCATAGACATGATTTTGTTACGGAGCCACGATAGAAGGTCAGTTTGGGGGGCGAAAAACGGGTTGTGCAGTTGTATCAAAATCATTGGGATGGAACCGAAAAGAAAAACCGGCTTACTGTATACCACGAAAGCTCACGACAGCCATGTACATATAATATTGGAGAAAATCTCCGAATCTCTTCTTTAAATAACGTTTCTTTTCGAGCTGGTGCTATGATTATGCTTCAATGCCTTAATGTCCCGTTCGTTTGTAGATGTATTCATTCCACATCGTCTCACCCCTCAGATACCTCCTTTTGCACCTACAACCTGCGGATATCAGTCATACAGACAGCAACGACAGCGACGATAGCCTTCATCTCCGGCCTCGATGAAGTCTTCCAAACCTGAAAACCTGGCTCCCACCAACGCCATTTGATGCTATTAGAGCGTTAACAAAAGCCATACAACCTCATGTTGGCAGCTCTTGTCCCGCAACACTACTTCTAGATCCCGAACGCCCGCCAAATGGTAAAAGCCAACGAACGACACGAAAACCCTTTACCGACCAGCCAGCAAGGCGTTCGCATCCCACAACAAAACCCTCTCGTCCCAGCCGACGGTCGCCACCCAACCCCCGACACCAAACAGGCACCAATCTACGCCCACCACAAACTCGGTGTGCCTGTTCATGATGCCGACTTGCGCTCCCACCTGCGCCCCGCCCGCCGGCCCCGCGGGCGGCGCGTTCGAGCGATCGTCCCATAACCTGACGGTCATGTCGTAGCTCGCCGTCAGCAGCAGGTCCGCCGCGTGCGGGCTCCAAGCCAGTCTCCTGACGGCGTATTCGTGCCCCTGCATGACGGACACCGGCCCGGCCGTCGGGTTCCGGATGTCGAACGTGCGCACGGCGCGGTCCACGCCGCCGGTCGCGATGACGGTGTCGCGGTACTTGTTCCAGTCGTGCGTCAAGACCTCCGCGGGCGCTGCCGAGGGGAAGCTGGGCCCGGCGGCGTGCACGGGGATCATGGACGTCAGGTGATAGCGTGAGGAGACGGGGGTGCGCAGGTCGAAGATGCGGATCTGCGAGTCGGAGGAGACGGCGGAGATGATGTTGGGGTTGGAGGGCTGGAAGGCGGCGCTGTAGGTACAGTTGCCGACGGGGAGGGTGCGCAGGGAGTGGTCGCGCGTCGGGGACCACAGCTTGATTGTGCCGTCCCAGGAGGCGGAGACGAAGGTGTCCTTTGTGATGGGGCTCCAGTTGACGGAGAAGGTCTCGCGCTTGTGTTCGTGGAAGTTCATGACGGGGAAGTCCTTGACGCCGAGGTCGAAGAGCTTGATGGAGCCGTCGCCGCAGGCCACGACAAGCTGGTTTTCGTTGATCTCGGACCAGGCGAGGTCATATTGGGAGTCGTTGGTGTCGAAGCTGTTGTTCGTGCAAGGTTAGCCATGTTAAGAACCGGATTGAGTGTTGACATTGAAGGTAAGAGGGTACTTGCGTTGCTTCAACCTCGACGCCGCGGGCTGTCAGGCCCAGGCAGAACACTCGACCATTTCCTACGATGCCAAAGTTGGCAGAGGACGCGACGGCGATGCGCGAGTCGTAGTAGGGCGAGTACTTTACGGCGTACGGGTTGTAGCCCTGTGTACGGAATTCAAGCATTGGGGCCATGGCGGCGGCGTCGGTGCAAGGCGATGCTGCTGCTGCTGGTTCGGGGGCCCGTGGTGTTTGTGAATTGGGACGGGCAAGAAGAGGCAAAGGGACCGTCACGGCAAAAGCATATGAACGCGGGCGGGACAGCTCTGTCCGGGCCACAGGGGCTGGTGATGTAACGCCGATCCGGGGTACCTCGGCAGGACGGGGGAGTGCTGGGATGAGGGATGGCGGGGTGGCTTTCAGCACTCCAAGGTATGCGTTTATCGGGTATGAGAGGGGCTGTGGGGCTAGCACTTTAGCAGCGCGCTCTAGACGCGCCTGGTCGATTACGCCCTTTGGCAGTGCGTCGTCCGTCCCCTTTTGCTGTACTGGCTTGGTTTTTATAGTCAAGGTTCCGCGCGAACGGGATCCAGCTTCGAATATGAAGCGGTTTCGATGTTCCCAGCCGGTGTATGACTACATCATGGAGCCTGAAGAGAAGCGGAAGCACAGTCCTGCCTCGACCCAGCGCGCAGAGGAGGATGACGAGCCAACTGAGGTGAAGCTTGCGATGCTATCATCGCTTCACCCGAATTTTGAGCAGGAAATGCTGCTCGATGTTCTCTTGGCTCACAATGGCTCCGTCGCCGAGTCTCTAGAGGCACTCGCAACCCCAACCTCTGCCAAGAAACCCAGCGGCGTAATGGGCGCCCAGAGCTCGTTGAGGAATTTCGCCACAAAATCGGTGGAAAATGGGACTGGCGCAGAAAGCTCCGCGAAGAGGAGGTTACTGTCGAAGAAGGGCACCACGCTGCATCTCTACGACCCTGACGACATTGCAGAACACACCCCCTGCTCAGTCATCCACAACTTTCTCCCGGCCGAAGAGGCCAACGATCTCCTGCGGGAGCTCTTGCGGGAAGCTGAGACCTTTGAGAAGAACGTCACATTCAAACTCTTTGACAACGTAGTTGCCAGCCCCCACACCACGAGCTTCTATGTCGAGAGCTACGACGAGATTCAGCGGCAAAAGACGGACTACCTGTATAACGGCGCCAAACTTACCGACATCCGCCGCATCACCCCTCAGCTTGTCAAAGTCAAGCCAAAGGTGGCGGAAGCCGTGAACGCGGAAATACAAAAGAGGATTGCGACCCGTTACCCCGGGGGCAAGAAGCTGCGGTTCCAGTCTCCCAAACCGTGGGCTCCCAACTCGGCGTTCGTCAACTGCTACGACGGACCGCAGGAGAACGTCGGGTATCACAGCGACCAGCTGACATATCTCGGCCCCCGCGCCGTCATCGGGTCTCTGTCTCTCGGCGTGGCACGAGAGTTCCGCGTGCGCCGCATCATTCCCAAGGATGGAGATAGCAACTCGGCCGAGGACCCTGATGCGGAGGGCCAGATCTCGATTCACCTCCCGCATAACTCATTGCTGGTCATGCATGCCGAGATGCAAGAGGAATGGAAGCACAGCATTGCGCCGGCGCAGTCGATCGACCCTCACCCTGTCGCTGGAAACAAGCGCATCAATATCACGTACCGCGACTACAAGGCGAACATGCACCCTCGTTACACGCCAAAGTGCGATTGCGGCATCCCCTGCGTGTTAAGGGTCGTCCAGAGGAAGAAGGAAAGCCATGGGAAGTACTTCTGGATGTGCCATGGCGGAAACGCGCCTGGTAAAGAGAGTTGCTCGTTCTTCCAATGGGGGAAATTCGACGACGATGGCAATCCCATGTGGACTCACGCGAAACCGAAACCTTCGGCGTGAACTTTTGTCTATTCTACGACACGTGCTATTGAACACACCGATCAGGGGTTCACATATGGGTTTGTGTCTGCCGGCTTGAGGTCTCCCGCACCGTTGACCTGGCGAATCTGCAGGCGCGTGAGGTCTAGCCCGTCAATGACCCGAGCGTTGACGGGATGCACCTGTTGGCACAATTTGTGGTAGTACTGCGCTATCTCCGCCATACCAGCGAGCTCCTCGTCGCTCAGGGACCTGCACTCGTTCGTCAATGGGACGCCGCATCTCTTGCAGAAGGTCTTGGCCAGGATCCCGTAGTTGAATACGTGCCGGCCAATCTTGTCTTCGTCTCCAGCCAATACGACCTGCTCGGCGGGGGGTTTGATCCAGACGTAACCGTTCTACACGCGGGTCAGTTCACGCTTTGCGCATGCGCGGTCTCCCTCGGAGAGAAAGAACAATCACTTACACGCGCGCAGATGCTGCAGTTGCACTCGACAATGCCTCCCATGAGACCTTCCCCTACCCATGTCTCATCCATGGGATTGCTGAACACCGCGAAGGTGACATCGCCGCAGTGACAGCTGCCCGTGTACGCCTTCCCACCCTCAAATTCGGCCGGCTTGGAACCTTTGTGCGCATGAGGGGCGTACTTGTCTCCAAGCGACGCGCCGTCAAACCTGTCACTGTGTCAGCCTCGAACCGACTCTGTCGTGGTCGCTAAGAGGACCCTACGGTTTCTTCTCGAGCGCAAAAATGTCCAGGTCTTGGATTGAGCGCACCTGCAGGTACCGTCAGCTTCTTGGCCGTTTGGGTCTGTGGGAGTAGATCGTGCGGCGGAGGATTCGAGACTTACATTCAACCCCAACTTCATACCTGGCGGCCCGTTGGGGAAGTCCACCATAATCTCGGTAGCACAGTTACCACAGAACTGAGCGGGCATCAGGATGTTTTCTTTCCGCGGATAATTTCGTCAGCTCACCTTATGGGTCATGTTACCAGAGCCAAAGTTGTAGCTGGAGAGCTCGCTCGCGGCGCCTTTGACAACTTTGAAGTCTTCGGGAGCGGGCATGACCCAAAGAGCGCCCTTCTTGGAGCAGATGCTGCAGTTGCAGTCGACTGCACTCTTGATCTCCGGGAGGCGGACTTCATAGACGAAGGCGCCGCAGTGGCAGTTGCCGCGATAGGTTTGCTTGGGTTCTTCGGATGTCATGTTGGGCGAGGAGGGGAAGATTCTGCTGCTGGAGAGGAGATGAAGGAGGCAATGAGGTCTGGCAAAGATGAGATCAACATCTTGACAGCTCTCCGTCTCTTATAGAATTCAATACACACGATGCAAGAGCGTTTGAAGCGACCAAGGCTGCGTGCTGAGGGCTGAGATGGGTTTGCGTAGCCGGATTAGTCAACAGTACATTTTGTTGAGATGGAAGTGGATTGCTGACAGTCCACCGTGGCCTCATTGGTATTTCTTAGTGAAGATGTACGGTTCTCCGGCCCCAGGGATACTATTTTGAAGCTCGTTTCCGGGTCACCGACACGATCTCCGGGCGGCACTGATGGTTTTACGCTGCTGACTGCATAGCATAGCGCAACGCCTGTGCGACGTCGGATTTGGGCGCCGTGACCCGCGTTTGTCGCATGCGACGATGACGAATGTGCTTCAAGAAGCGAATGGCTGTCTTTACCTACTGAGACTGAGACTCTTTGACTCATCTAAGCGGTTGCCGTTGCATCACACTTCATTGGTCCCTTACTGCAGCTCGCGACAGGCAAGAGTTGCGCCGCGCTTACTGTGTACACAAGGCATGTCGTCACAGCTCTTCAGCGTTGGTTGATTGTCTAGGTTGCCCGACAACTCGCAGGCCCAATGAGAGGTTGACTGACGGCTTACGATAGAGTCTTTGTGCGTGAGAAGTATCCAAAGCAAGACTCGGGAGTCATTCAGACGGCGTGTGAGATAAGCCAAGCAGGCAACCGCCGAAGCGGACGTTGTGTTGTTACCGGGCGAAAGGAAAGTTTCGGCGACCCAGCTGTTGGGGACCCGCGGGAGCTACCTTGGACATTTATCGGATTGGACTTAGAGGGCGATGTGGCATGTTGGGGTGAAGCTGTCATACGGAAATAGAGGCAAGGTGCAATTCGGATGTTTGTTGAGATGAGCACCCTCGTCCACTAAAGGATCCTGAGCGGGGAGTTGAACAGGGAAAGACGGGTTGGGGGGTTTCAGTGTCCCCAGCACTTGGCCAGGGGCCGTCCCGTCCCGGCGAGTTTTTAGGGAAACCCGCCGAATCCCATTAATCTGGCGAGCGTTAAAAGGAAAGCTGACGACCGAGAAGGAGGTAGCCAGTGAGTTGTGCATTTTCCAGCAATGCCTTATGCGCTCCCGGGGCCATTCAAGTTCCGGATGGGTCCGCAGACGATCAACGGCCGCCGTGGTTGCGGTGGGAGGGCCGAGGAGGCGGAGATGACCAGCCCGGGCATATCGGACTTACACCCGTTGCGTGTCATCGCCAAGAGAGGACGGCACACTGATAAAGCAAGCGAACCGACTTTTCGACCTTTTGACGATTGCTTGCTTCCCTGCGTGCCTGCTTCGCATCTCGCCAAGCCGGCGTACGAAGCTCCAAAGATGATTGATAATCGCTTGATCAGTCACACCAAGCATTCCTCTCGATAATATCTCCATCCAATCGGCGGAATGCAGCGGGCGCCGTGGGCCAAGGAACCACAGGCTTAACAGCCTATTCGAGTACACTTTGCCCAAGACGTCTCAGTTTGAGGACGAAGCCGTTCCTTTCCCCGCATACGATGAACCGCAGACACCCCCCCCCAAGACACATCCCCCCCTTAGATCAACGATCAACGATCAACCGGCCATCACGGGCTGCCATTTACAGATTAACGGGGCCAGGTTCCTGATTCGAGATAGGCCGCACGCTGTGTGGGATGGGGCCCCCGGCCGGCTCCCGCGGGAGAAGTCAACCTTATTACAACGGCTATGGTGCCAAGCTGATCGGCCGTTCGCAAGCATGCCACACCAGCACCCAATTCGTCCAAACGGCCCTGTTCCTTTCTTAAAGTGCAACTGTGGCTCCTCGTCCACCGTAGTCATTCCTCGTTTGCCTCATTCACTTTCCATCTCAAGTAAATCACCCCTGCCTCGAATGTCTTGCCAGCTGCCGTGCTGGGAAGTCACCCGCCGGCAGTTTGTTGCATCGCGTACGACGTGATTTGCTTGGCGAGCATTAGACAGCGTAACTCACCTTTTGTGCTTTAAATTTGCCAACTTGGCCCTCGGTTGACAGTGCATCGGAGGATGGCTGGCGAGGCGGGAGTGCCAGGGCAAGACATCCAGCAGTCAGTCAGTCTGTCTGTCATCGCTTCGGCACTTTTGGTTTTCGCCATGGACTTGGAAGAGAATGTGAGGGAGGGTGATGTGATGGCCAAGATCTGCGAATTGCCATCCCCGCTTCCGGTGTGCTAGGTTGAGAAAGGGAGGCTTTGAATCCTGGGATCCTCGTGCTGGGCGTGTGGGTGGTCCTTTACCGTTGCGTCAGGCAAGCGGGTGATTGCAGTGTTCTTGCTTGAAATGTATTTGAAGCCAGGCCCTACCCCTTGCCCCTGGGTGGTTCCTCAAGGACGGGGGTTACTCCTGAGCTCAAGGTCTTGCTCCGTCTGCTTGCTGTATCCATAGGAGCTCCTGCTCTCCTGACATCACCTCCCCAGGCTTTCTCTTTTAAAAGCCGAGTCGCATCCACACATCTCGGGATCCTCCCATAGTGTTTCACCTCTTCCAGGCACTTACATGCACAGCCAGGCCTAGGACAATCCTCGCTGTCTTGGGATCGACGTTCGACATGGCCTACATCAAATCTGCCGTGACCGTTGTCGTGGCTGCGCTGCTCTCGCGAGTGGCTGCTCAGTGCCCAAACTTGACTCCTGTCTCGCAGCCCTCGTTGGCCGAAGGCTACTCTGCAAGACTTGTCTTGAACGGCCTTGATTCTCCGCGAAGTCTTCAATTTGACACCGAGGGAAACCTTCTCATTCTAGAGCAAGGTGCTGGCGTTCAATATGTCAAATTGACCGACAATGGCGGAACAGACGTCTGCGCGGCTTCTCAGAAGCAGCTGATTCCCAACACACAGGTATGTCAATCAACCCTCACATTGGGGGATTTCCCGGGAGACGAACGAAACTTACAAAATCGCAGCTCAACCACGGCATCGCTTTGTCCGCGGATGGCAAGACGATTTACGCATCGTCTTCCACAGTAGTCTACGCCTACCCGTATGACGCGGCCGCCGGCACGGTCGGCCAGGCTCGTCCCATCATCAACATCCCGACGCAGACTGGCCACTCGAGCCGAACATTGTTGATCCCCAAGAGCAGTCCCAACTTCCTGCTGGTTTCGGTTGGCTCCGCGCCTAACCTCGACCTTCCGACGGCCGAGGTCTCTTCTGGTCGCAGCCAAGTCCGCGCCTTCGACCTCACTACGATCACCGGCGATCCCGTTGCTTACAACGATGGAGAGGTCGTGGGATGGGGCCTGCGTAACAGCGTCGGTCTCGCAGACAATGTTGACGGTGGAATCGTGAGTGTGCCCTAGTTACTTTGGCAGGGCATTAGCTAACGACACATTCCAGTGGACGGTCGAGAACTCGCTGGATAACATGGACCGGAGCGGTACGGATGTCCACAACGACAACCCCGGAGAAGAGCTGAACTACCACGGCATCTTCAACTCATCATCCAACGAGTTGAGTGGAGCAAACTACGGCTATCCCAACTGCTTCGCTGTCTGGGACACCACTACCATCCCTAATGTCCAGGTCGGAAGCCAGGTCACCCAGGGAACACCTTCAGGCGACGTGACAGATGCGTACTGCCAGTCAACACCTGTGGCACCTCGACTCACTTTCCAGGCCCACCTGGCGCCCCTCGATATCAAGTTCGAGCCCAGCGGAAAGGCTGCGTACATTTCCTTCCACGGTAGCTGGTAAGCACCTTCAGGACGGGACTTTGAAGTTGACGGAAGCTAACGTACTCGCAGGAACCGCCAGCCTCCTGATGGATACCGACTCAGCCGAGTTGACTTCGGGGCCGATGGACAGCCCACGGCCGCCTCGACGAGTCGAGAGGCGGAAGTCAGAGTGATGTGGAACAGCGACCAATCTGTCTGCCCTAACGGTTGCTTCCGACCTGTCGGTCTTGCATGGGATACCAAGGGTAGACTGTTCATGGTAAGCGACGCATCGAACGAGCTCTTTGTCATCACGGTCCCCGCCTAGAATGCGGGAGACCCTGGGATGTCGTGCCCGGCGTAGTCAGCTAACCACATCGCTGTGGATGGACTGGGAACAGTGTGTGGAGGTATGAAGAGGAGGATCTTCTATGCACATATTTACTGGAGCTTGGTGGCCGGATGCCCTGCACATAGCTTAGCTACGCCGGCAATACAATTCACGTTCGATTGTTGTCTACTCACAGATGACCTGGCTCGCCTGGGGGGATGGCTGGCTTCAGTCCATCTGCCTACCGTCGGCGCATGTCGTTACAAAAAGAAACCCCAACACTCAAATGTCCTTTCTCTCGCAAGGAGAAGGCTGTCTGTCAAAGGACGAAACGAAACAGTTCCTCTCATCAAGATTGCCGAAGACAGACAAGCGGGGAAAATGTGCCTCGTTGCCGTGCAGCAGCAGAGAGGACGACCCTTGCATCGGCCCGGGCTGCAGTGGACCAAGCGGGGATCTCCCAGTGTGTTTGTGCCTCTCCCACTTGGGCATAGTCTGGTGCGTTTTTCGCTCTCAGCAGCAGTCTTCCCGTATTGATTCGCGTGGTGAGGTGCGACAAGGGCAACCGCAAGTGCAGATGCTGTGCATGCCGTAGTACGCTTCCTAGTAGCGCGGTGCTCCAATCAGGTGTCACGCCAGCTCTCTCAGGTCTCACACGTCCAACCAATCTTGCCTGGGCACCCTCTCCCACCCGTCCCGTCCGTCGGCGTCCCTCTCGCTCCCGGCCAGTCTTAATCCAACACACTCATTCTGCTCAGCCTGCCCGTTTACTGCGTTGCGTCCCCATCCCACGTTGGGCTGAGCCGCCAAAACACTCGTTTGCCGCCCTTCATCCATTCTCGAACCTGTGGTTCGTTTCGTCTTCATTCCGACGCCCAGAGGCTTCACCGGTTGTCGACGCCCGCTAACCGCAACGCATTTGTCTCAGCCTCTGCGACACTGCAACGTCGGAACCCACGGTCTGTCGAGGCGTCGTCACGCGCGCGCATCGTGCTGCACGAACTCTCCTCGCCTGCCTGATCCTTCGTTCGAACTCCCCACGCACATCACTCGCTTGACCCGTACCGTCCGACATTTGGGCTCGCGACATTTGCGACTCAGCCCTACGGCCCGACTTTTCGCGTCTTCGAAGCGCGCAATCTTTGCGACACGCTACACACAACCCTGCGCACATCGCCCACGTCACTCGACGCAAGCGCAAACGCAAATACGCCGACCGCGACTGAGCGCACGAGATGCCTCTCATCAATCGGCAAAACCTCGACGACGATGTAGTGGTCCCGGCCCACTACGGCGGCTGGTCACCGCTCAGCCCCGGCGCCGTGGTTGGCGTCACGCTCGGCGCCGTCGTCGGGTTCCTCCTCGTCCTCTGGATGTTCTACACCTGCATCAACTTCGGCCGAGCTCCCGTCGAACCATCATCATCATCGTTGTACACACCCACCGCGACATCGGTTCTCTCAGTTCGGTCTCGGAGCCGACATCACCGCAAACACCGCAGTCCGGCTCGTGGGCCGAGAATAATCGCGACGGAGGAGGTGAGGGTCCGAGAGAGGGACAGCGTGAGCCGGACTAGGGGCGGACCGATCATTGTTGACGCGGATCCGCCGATGGTGGAGCGTAGAACGAGCCGGGGACCGCCGCCTCCCAGGATCGTGACAGATGAGGAGGAGGAGGTTGTCGTTATCGAGGAGCATGAGCCTGAGAGGAGGCGGAGGAGGAGACACAGCAGTTCTCACAGGCACAGCAGCCGACACGAGAGCCGGAGACGTAGCAGTCGCGACTACTAGGGCAGAGAGGATATACCTGGATTGGGTTGTTGAGTTGTTGGGCCTTTCGAGTCACGGGGTAGATGTTGGGCATACGATATTGTAATGGATTCACCCTGCTTCGTGATGGACAGATGTTATCGACTGCGACGCGTGTACTGGGACGACAAAGTGTACGAATGTTTGTGTGAGAGATGTCGGTTTGGCATGTGAGTGCAGCGGTCATGCGATTATACGTCAAACGGGCCGGGGAATTTTCTGGGGAAAGGGGCCCCTTCTCTCGTCTAGAGATCAGACGGAAGAATAACAGTGGCGCCGTTCCTCGGATGCGGGATGGACCTGAGCGTGTTCGGTTTCGATACGAAAAGAAGATGCCCGCATTCCTCACCCCGGAAGAGTTGTTGATGTTCAGCATTACCCGAATACGGAAGAATTTCAGAATCTTTAACCCTCCACGATCGACGGCGGGTGTCGTCCGGCGCGTGACGACGCTTGAAGCGGCCTGAAGCGGAGCCGCGACACCACCCCGAAGAGCGAAGAGGTTGCCTGTCGGAGGTTTCGGGCTCTTTTTTGCTTCATGTTCATTCTGTGATCTCTTGATGATTCTGTTGGGCTTATTGGACAGGTCGGCTGGTGAGGCGTTAGGGGTTCTGGGTGTTACTCCGTGGTTGAAGAGGGTTTGCTAGTCTGCCAGGCAGATATGCACGCGGATGCTCATTGATTTACACTGAATAATGGCTGCATGTGTTTTCCCCAGAGCACTTTCGTCCGAATATTTATTTCCCTTGCTCCTGGAGGGACTGAAAGCGCACCTACCAAGATGTGGGTGCGCCCAAGCTAAGCCTCGGCGCGGCTTGACATCTCATGCACGGCATCTGCATGGTGCACAAGCCGCGCCAGGCACATTGAGCCAAAATATCACAAGATCATCGAGATCCCGGGTGGCGCACCTTCTTTCTACGCCTCTTCGTCGCTCTCGCGCCCATGGAACCCTGATGACATGGAAGGGGAAGGGAGAAAAAGGGTAGACTTTCCTCGTCAGTTTTGACACCTCTGACCACCTCAAGGGGGGTGTGGGAACTAGGGAAGGAAGCATTGGCCAATGACAGGTGCGGCACCCGCATTTCACATGCTTTCCCCGGACTGGACGCCATGCTGCTAATAGTTTCAGAATGACATCACCTGCGAGCTTCGGCTCGCCGGGGGGTAGCAGCGCGCAGGAACTCAACCGGCGTGCATGCTTCGCTCCAAGTCACCAGCTAAATGGATTAGGTTGTTCATGAAAGGGGGAACAGACAGCAAATCAGGCAACCAGTGCTGGCGAGTTAGTGGACAATGCTAGCTAACCATCATTCCGCCCCTTCTCTCGGCTTGCACGCCCAATCAGACGTACCTTCTGAGACTTGAGGAGAGCTCCTTTCTCTGAGACATCATAGCTCCCACCTACCTGCCTACCTTACCCACCGTCTCGTTGTGAGCGTCTTCTTTTTAACATTTGACTTTCCTCCACGCTGCTCCCATTTGCTCTTCTTATTTTCTTCCCGTCATCACACTCGCAACGACATCCTTTGACGTCCATTGCCCTTAGAATCGTCATAAGACATTGTCGCGGTCACGACTCCGAATACACACAAGAAGAATAATAGCAGTCGCGAGATCGCAGCTTTCAGGGCGCAATGGAGCATCCAGGTATGTCACCATGTGCCACGAATCCCCCCAAACCCCCGGTCTATCCTGTACGACACCTCGCAACCCCAGCTGTAGATGTAGCCAAGATTGCGCGATGTATCCATACCATCTTGATCACCCTCGCAGACTTGCAGAGCCTCAACCCCAACCCTCGTGTAAAGAGTTACGTTCTGACGATGCTCAGTGAAGGAAATTAGGACGGTCATTCGCGACTTGGTCCAAGGCTCGCCCAAGGAGCAGTATGACGCCCTCTTCAACCACTTCACCGAGGACGCAGCCTTCACCCACCCCTTCTGCCACGTGCCAAGTTTTGGCAACGTCGACATTCCCTTCCTCTTCACCATCAATTCACGGTGGCTCGTCCTCATGATTTACCGATGGTACCGCATTCTGAGTCCCAGCATTGCCATGAACATCGAGTCGGCTGGTAGGTTCACATCCTCGTCACGATACATCGCGAGCAGAAACACTCACACACACACACACCCTGAACAGTCCTAGATCAAAGAGCAAATCTTCTATACGTTAAGATGCGCCAAGACTTCCGGCTATGGTTCGTTCCTTTCTACTCCGCCCCTGTCGACTTCGTCGTCGTCCTCCGTCTCGAGACACGCAACGTCGATGATCAAAACCGGCCTCTGCCCCGCAACCAAACCGACGCTTCTGCCGTCGGGGCCCGCCAGCGTCACTTCATCATCCACCAGGAGGACCACTACCAGGTCGGCGAGTGGCTTAGGTTTCTGGTCCCCTTCTTCGGATACTGGGCCTGGCATGTCTTTACTCTCTTTTCCACGATCCTGTGTGCTGCCGGCGCCCTGATTGGATATCCCGTCACCCGGTACTTTGACTGGCAGGCCACAACGCAAAACGGCGCCCAGGTGAATAAGGCCGACTAGTGCGAGATCTTTTGCTCCAGATTGCGCCACCTTTTAGAGCGTCTCCGCTCCTTGGGGCGCCGCCATTTCGAGCTCCTCCGCCCCTTTGCCGAACGCGTGCTAAATCCCCTACGTCCCTTGGCCCACCGTGTTGCCCAATGGCTTCAAACCACGCCCGTGGGAAACTTCGTGAGGAACCAGATTGGTCTCTTACTTCTTTTACTTTACGTGATCGTATATGGTATCATGGGCGTCATCTTGTTTGTTGCGTGGCCTTGGTATTTGCTCTACAAGAAGATCTGCAACGTCGACGGAATGAACAATAGCGAGTAGTACACTGAGGAAGAAGTGGCGTGGATGGAGCTGACATTGTAGGCAAAGGATGGTTGTGTACAGCAAGGTTATTTGCGCTCGGTCGCAGAAAAACGTCTGTAACTAATTGTTGATCGGCACTATGCGAACCTTGTATTGTCAGAAGGACGGCAGTTTTCTGAGCAGGACGTCGTGGTTGGAGGAGTCATTCCAGAGACATCATGTTATAGCAATCAATCCCAACGTTTTACTTCCGCTATCGTCGCTGATGTTATCGTCACTGTCGTTGTATCAAGTAACAGTTCAAAACGCCGGTCAGTGAATACACAAGGAACTGTGGCTGCGAAGACACAGGAAAAATAGGCGGTCTTATGATCAACCCACTTCAAATTCAAACCTGCTTCCGGCTCATCGCCTAGCTTCGTCTCGTGCTCTTTTTTTCGCGCGCTTTTTTGGGTATACCGACACAAACAGCCACAAGAGGGCTGGCTGACCAAAAGAAAAGTCCAAACCACACATTCACACAAGTAAGCCTTCCTCCTTTTTGTATATACCGCGTGCGTTGCCCTCCTCCTCCTCCCTCCGTCTTTTGAGCTATATGCAGAGTGCTTCGGTCGAGACGCACTGACTAGTCTTATTTTCATCTCCCCACGTGATCTGTTCTAACTTTTTGTCATGGCCTCATCGTGTAATAACTTCATGCGTATATACGCCCTCGCAAACTTGGATAGATTTGCCAAACACCGTAACCTGTGTACGGCGTACAAGTGGTGGTAGATTAGGCGGGCCCTTACATGCCACCACCGTTCGCATTAGCACCGTTGGCGCCTTGTTGATCTTGCGGCTGCTGTTGCGGCTGTTGCTGCTGCTGTCCTCCAAAGAAGAAGCCGTCGAATATGTTCATCTGCTGCCCGTCGCTGAAGTCGTGGTGCATGTTGTCCCAGTTGATGCCGAAGCCGAGATCGAGGTTCGGGGTCGTGCCGTCGCCGCCGGCGCCGACTTCGCCGTTCGGGTTGCCCTGGAGGCTCTGGAAGAAGTCCATGGTCTGGATGTCGGGGTACTCGCCGCCCATGTTGTTGTTGTTGTTGTTGTTGTTGTTGTTGTTGTTGTTGTTGTTGTTGTTGTTGTTGTTGTAGGAACCCCCCTGCTGTTGCTGCTGTTTCTGGTTCATGAAGGAACCGCCGCTGCTTGACCTCTGAGCCGCCATGCGACGCGGCACAGGTGGCGAGGCGACGAAGGAGGGATCGATCTCTGAGGGGCTGCCCTGGCCCATCATGTTGAAGTCGGCGGCGCGCGGCGAGTTGCGCGGGGGCAGGTCGCCGGCGACCGACAGGCTTGGGGAGGAAAGCGTGTCCGAGAGGGCGCGGTCGGTCTGGAAGCTGCCTTGCTGGAACTGCTGTGGCGGCTGCTGGCGGCGGCGGCCCGGGGCGGCGCTCGCTGTCGACGTCGAGGCGCCGTCGCCGCTGGCGGAGCTCCACTCGAATCTGTTCTCGCGCATCTTGCGCGGCGGCACGGAGCCGAAGCCGCCGGTGGAGTTGGCCATCTTGATGGTGGCCTTGGCCGTGCGGTCAAAGGCGTCGCGGCAGGTCTCTGCGGGCGGGCACTTGTCGATCAAGTCGGTGAAGACGGACTTGGCGGCGAGGATCGTGAAGTCTACTTCGTCCATTGTCTGGAAGGGCCATGTCAGTACTTATCAAAGCTGGGTTCGAAAAGGAGGGCCGACTTACCAGGCGGCTTCTGACGATTGGCGAGTGCCAGATTGCGTAAAGGTATGAGATGCCGGCCATGAAAAGGTGGTGGGTGGAGAGGTACGTGTAGCTGACGAGTCCGCTGAGGTGTAGCTGTCGATAGATGCGCAGGATCTTCTGTCCAGCCTCAGCGACCTTGAGGTAGATTCTGTCCTCGTCCTCGCGCAGCTCTGCCTGGAACGCCGTCGGGCTGTTCACCTCGTTGGACGTGTTGTACTCGCCCTCGAACATGGCAGGGACACTCAGGCTCTGGCGGTACAGCATGATAATCGCCTGCCAGTAGTTGAGCTCCAGGAACTCCGTTGAGAAGGCCACGCCCGTTTCCTCCCTCGTCGGCGCCGAGTTCTTCCACTGGTACAGCCGCCGGTCAATGTCGATGCGCCAAGAGCGGAAGCACTCGAACTTGACGAGGAAAGGGGACGGCAGGTGGGTGTGCATGTCCGAGTTCGTAATGTTTTGGCCCGAAGCCCGCACGACTTGTGTCTGGTTGTACTGCAGAACCTGCAGTATCTCGGACTGCAACAGGCGTAGCTTGAAGTAATGGTATGCCACATGTTTGTAACTCGGCTCGGCCGAGTCTGGGGGCATCTCCAGGAACCCGGTGGGGGTGATGTACTGATCGTCCAGCAGCGAGGGGAACTCGGTGGTGATGACCTGGTCGCTGATGCCAAACGGTCGACCTACGCACGTACTGACCAGGCGGTCGAGGGAATATGTGCACCACCAAAGCCGCCGCCTCATGTCACGGATGAACAACCGTCTTCCCTTTTCGCGGGACCGCGTCTCACCCGACTCATTCATCTCGCCGTTTTCCTCTTTAATCTTCCCCAGCGGGTCCATCATGGCTTTCGCTACGTCGCTACCGTCCTCATAATGCAAGCCTAGGTCTACGGCCAGTCTAACAGCGACGCCAATTATGTACCTGCAAGGCCGGTTAGCGTACACGTTACAAAGATCGCATGAATCACGGGACAAAACTCACCAAAGACCCGGCGGGACGGGCCGGAGGAGCGCAAAGTTGGCCAGCAAAAGTACCGCTTGCAGAACCTCCAGCCCGCCGCCACTATTGCCAAGACACGCCTCGAGATGTACGATAGCACTCGCGTGATATTCCTCAGGCTGAGCCTGGCCAAACTTATTTGCGTCTGGCGGATTACGGGGCCCAGCACCTGAACCGTCTGATTTCACAGGCTCGCCCACGATGACGCCGCAGCCAATGGCAAACACCATGTTCAACATATATAATTCCCGCGGTCCTTTCGGCCCGCTCGGGTTGGCGTACGCCTGTTCGAACATTTGCATAAACTCTCCGCGATGGAGGATGGGTATTTGGGGGTTGGCGTGCTCGAAATAGAGCGTCACAAGCCTCATGCCGACATCACGGTCTGGGAAATTCGCCGGACGGATCGTGGGTTTAGTGTGGAGGCCAAAGAAGGAGTCGCGCATCGACGTCCCGCTGCCGATCGGGAGGCCTTTGCCCGCGCGGTCAGAACCATTCTGATCCGATACGGAGTACTGCACGGCGGCGAAAACGACGCGGTTGAATGACACGCCCGAGGCGGACGCCAAGGACCGCGGCTTCGACGGGGCGACGATATCGAGCATGCCCGTCTGCGCCCCGCCCTCGGCCTTCTTGGCCTTCTCCAGGTCAGGGCGGTGGACGCTGCTGTTCTTCGCGGGGCCGTTGCCGTCGATGCTTTCTGAACGCGCCGAGTGGCCGAGGTCTGTGGTCGATCTCGGAGGTTCGGTTCCGGGGCGTGAGCAGAGCTCGAGGTTCTCGGCGGGTGGGAAGAGGATGTTGTTGTTGGCGAGCAGCGCTTCCAGCTGCTCCACGCGGGTTTCTAGATAAAACACATAGCTTCAAGGACAAAGTCAGCAGCCTTTCAATGTCAACGATACCACCATGGTGTATGGTGGACTCTACGTGAAGAGGCAGTAGTAACCCCAGTTGCTCGCGCCGTACCTTCTGGGGATCTCCTTCTTGGTGATTGGATCGTAGCCCACACAGGCGACGCCGGCCTTTGCGCAGCTCGCACAGCTGGGCAGCTTCTGGTCGCACCTGTTCTTGCGCAGACGACAGCGGTTGCAGGCGCTCACGTTGCGAAAGTTGCTGCTCTGGCCCGGCTTCCCGCCCGCCTTGTCGGCCAAGGCTGCGCCGGCGCCGGCGATAGCGTCGTGTTGGTTGTCGCCGGACGGGCTCTGGTCGTTCCCGCCCGAGGTCGGGGAAGCGTCGTCGTAGGAGCCCTGGCGCGGACGCTTCGTCGGCTTCATGACCGGCGAAGGCGGCGAGTGGGCGGGCATTGCGTAGTTTGGGCGTGCGCGCGCGCGGGCGGACTCGGCGGCGGCGGCTACGGAGGGGACGTCGACGAGGGCGGGTTGGGAAAAGGGACGGGATTGTGTTTGGAATTATTTTCCGGGCGGCGGCCGGCCCGGTCGAGGTCCTCGGTGAAGCAGGGATGAGGAAGGTGTCCAATCAGAGTACTGGTAAGGAGAATTGTGCGACGGTCTATCGGGTTGAAGGCTTTGATCAGCGTTAGGGAAGTGGGCGGTTTGTGAGAGGTGACGATTTGCAGCGTTGTTGGAGAGGTTGGAGGGAAAAAGAGACGTCGGTGAGGCTCACAAAGTGCTGGTACACTGCTATCGCGACGTTATCTTGACTTGCGCGCAGGCAGCTCCACCCATCATTCGGTAGTGGCACCGATGGGACTGCCCGCGCTGCAACTGCTGAAGAAGCGATCGTTATTTTTTTCCCTTCCCCTCCGAGGTACCTTCCCAGGATATCCTATCTCTTTTTTTACTAAGGCGGCGCTAGAATTTTGGGTAATCGAACGGGTGGCGGGGTGGCCGTTACGGCAGTTTTTTTCCAGATGCGAGTCCGTCGAAAACGAGACACCGACAATGTGTGCTGCTTGCTCAGCTGGTATTCACGTCGAGTCTGAAGACGTGACCGAGACTCGGGTCGCAGATGGCAAGAATGCGCATGTCGAGGCGGGGGAGACTGACGGAGGCGGGCGGTGAGGATGCGGGTTGAAGGTAAAAAGACAGACCCAACAGCGCCGAGGTTGAAAGAAGAAAAGAAAAACCGGCGCGAGTCACAGAGCATCCGGCGTGTTGCTGCAGGATATGAGAAGCAAAAGAGTGGGCATTTGCAACCTTGCCTGAACAGCGTCGGTGAAATGGGGTGGATTACAACGTGCGGACGGGCAAGGCAAGATTGAAGGCACCTTTCACACACACACACACACACACACACACACACAAAGTTGCTGTAATAAGGGTGTGATGCTAAAGCAGGCAATGCGCTAGCTGTTGGGCAGGGGGTATTCCAACCTGCCAGGCCAGGATATAACTTTTTTGTCAACTCCAAACACCTGCTCACTAATACTTTTTCCAGGCTCAGCTGATAAGCGCAAAGGAAGGAGAAGGGATCGTCTGCGAGAGGCGCGCCTGTGGTAGAGAGTGGAGGTAGTAAGCCTCGAGTAAGAGCAAAGAAGAAAGCGGCAGAACGTGAGAAGTGACGGCCTGACTCTCTGTCACAGTTGGATTACACCTAGTCTGTGGCCTCTGTTAGTAGTTGCTTCTTCTTTACAGAATGCAACTGGCGGTGGGTAAGGACCTCATCGCCCTCACACAGAGTCATGCCTAGTCCAAGCAAGGTGCGTATCCAATTGCACTGACACGCTCTTCTCTTCTTCATCAAAAGCCTGGAAACTTGAAAGACAGCGTCCAAAGTCAACATGTAGTGGCCCCCCGCACTTGGGGGGAACATCGAGATCCCAGCCGGCTAAACCGGATCCAGCAACTCATCCTGCGCTGGCGTCGAGAAAGCACTCTCTGGATTGGACGCTTCACTGAAGTTTTGGGCTTGGCAGATTGATGGCCGCCGGGTATCAGTTGACACTGCTTGAGCTAAGCACCTGTAATCAACGGATTGCCATTGATTGATACCACGAGAAGAAGGAGTCTGCCACAGACCTTCGCCAGCTCTCTTATCTATCCGTCCCAGCCGCAGGCCTTCTCTTACACCACCGTAACTGAAGACATAGAATCATTATCTTCACCCCGTACTGTCGCGTGCGCCGTTCCCTACTCTGGACCGACCTCCAGAAACGAATACGACAGCTGTGCAGAAAGAAAGCAGAGAAAACAAGGGTGAATGTCGTCTTCATGTGGTCGTGATCATCTTGCCGAGTATATAATCTCTCCGCCTACCTTCTTGTCCCCTTCAGAGCATCACGTCGGCTTATTCAAGTACCTACCTTGAGCCAACGTTCGTGCGTGTAAGTCAAAGTCCGGCTTAATCCGCCTATTGCCGCTCCCAACGCAGCTGCCGATAATCGGTGGCCATCCTCACGGCCAACTCATCGTCACCCTCACTGACCTCATAGGTGCAATTGAACATGATCTGATCCAACCATTCAATCAGCCATCAACAAGTACCGAGGTGGCATTAACGACCTCCCAACTCAAGCTTAGCACAAATCCTCTCAGCCGCCAGGGGTCGCCAGCTGTCTTCTAGCCTCCCCATGCTCCCCGTCCTGCCGATATCGACTCCTCTCCAGGTGTCAAGCTCCAGCCCAACCCATCACCAATGGCAATAACGCCTTCGTGACCCCCCGGAGCGGGGACCCAAGGAACAAAAAAAAAAAAAAAAAAAAACCTTCGTGAAAGGTCCTACCACATGTCAATTGCACTCACAAAAAAGGAAACATGGGTACACAAAACTGCATAGCCAGGGGGGAAACAAAAACGTCGTCAGCCTCGATGGGGCCCCGTCAAGTTCCAGACCAGAAATAGAACCACACTCAATCAATCCAAAATCTTCGGACGGCCAAAACCCCCCACACCGGGAAGTCCGTTAGTGTTCCAAACAGAAGAAAACGACGCTACCGTTCCAAACTCATTGATCCAGCACCACACAAAAGCAGAACGAACGCATGAAGGGCTGTGGCAAAGCCCGCCCATGCATTACCCCAGCGGCCTTGAGACAATTATAGTAGAAACGGCTGGGGAGGTGATGGATGGATGAGAGCCCCTCGTCCTGGGAACCGGAAAACTCTCCTGCTACTGCTCTTCGGATGAACTGAACATAAGATAGATGCCGGCAGTATAGACCAGCCGACATAAAACGGCGCGCGATGGTTAGCAAACAACCCCTGCGAATAGTCTACCCCAGATCTGCTCAAAAATAAAGAGACCCCTCCAACGTAGCATTTATCCATCGGCCAGAGGGCCTGGCTCACATGCAGGCCCGCCAAAGCTTGTGGTATCTCATGGCAAGCAAGTTTAACTGCATCCCTCATCTCGATCTCAATTCACACGTCCAAGTTTGAAGATTTTTTATAAAATGTTTGTCAAAGTAAGGGGATCGTCCCCATCAATTCTCTAAGTGGTCATTAAAACATAGGAAGCATCCTTCGCAGGCCTGCCCCCCTAGCAAGAAAGAAAATCCCAAGAGATTCCAATCCTCCGTCATCGCAGATTCCCGGTCGGTCGGTCGGTCTCTGGTATCCAACAATGCCATTCGCTTTTTGTGCCCTTTCTTGTCTCTCTTACTCTCAACGTCGATTCCTGGACTTCCATGGTATCTCCAACTCCTTTGGTCCAAATAGATCCAAACAATAAAAACACAGGTAAACTCGGCTCAGGCGATTTGCCTGGCCATACATGGTGGTATGAGCTCGAAACGCCCCCTAAGTCTGTAATGAAAATAGAAAGAGAAAAAAAAAAGAAAAGAGAAGATTCTCCTTCATGCTGCCCGCTGATGGAAAATGGGGAATAAAACAAGTGACAAGTCGTGAGAAATTCCCGTGTATGCTCTCTCTCCGCCTCCGTCCGAATTATATCACATATTCCAAAAGCTCTTTTCCTCTTATCCTGTCGTGTCCCGTGAACGATAGTCTATGTCTTGGTCGCCCTGTTCCCGTTGATAACGCCGAATGATGAGAAACGCCGATGGCTTGGTTGTTAAAGGCAGGGTCATGATGTTGCGTAATGCCTTTAGCGTCGAAATCGAAAATGAAAACAAAAATTCAATCGTAATCCGGCTTAACGTCTGCAGCTGGGGCCGGCCTCAACCTCGTACTCCTCGTCGTCGTCCAGGGGGAGCAAAAGTCCCTCGGTCTCAGTAGGCTCGAGGGCCGTCTCGATGTCCTGTGTCGGCTCGTCCAAACGTCCACGGGGCTCGGTGGCGTACAAGCTGAGAACGGCTCCGATGATGGTGATCGCACCGCTAGTCCACCATGCGAGACCAGAGTAGCCGATTCGGAGGCCCAAGGCGTAGAGAAAGCCAGAAACGGTGGGGCCAAGGGCTCTGCACAAGCTGGCCGTAGAGGCGGCGACGCCATTGATGGTTCCAAGGGAGAGCAGGCTTGGTGCGGAGTTGGTGAGGAGGATAGCGTTGCTGGGGTAGGCCATGGTTGAGAAGGTGCACTTCCAGATGACCATCATGTAAATGCCAACCATTCGAATGTTGCTCGGCAGAAGGACAAGGTATGGGGTCAACATGTACAGCATGAAGTACGAAATAGCGAGCATTCGGAAAAGGCGGAGGGGTCCGAGGCGTCGAACGACCATGGGGAAAATGAAGACGGTCGAGATCATCGAGTAAACGCCCTGCACAGAGAGAATGACACCAATCTGGCCGGTTTCCATGCCGAAGCCGTCGACGAACTTGAAAGGAAGGTGGATATCCTTGTGCTCGGGCGAGGCGGTGCTGAGGAAAACGGGGAAGAGCTGATCGAAGGTCATTGTGTGGCTAGCGAGGAAGTCAGTAACAACCCGATGGCTCCAGTCAGGAGATACACTTACAAAGCCAGAATGCCGTAGGAAATGATGTTCAAGACAACCGGCCGCGTGAAAGTCTTGCTTGGCTCAGCAGGAGTCTGCTCAATGTCTTCACACGGGGCAGCGCTCAGATCCAAAGTTTCGGTAAGTTCAGGAATCTCGGAAGAGGATCCAACAAGCTGAGGCGAGTTCTCGTTTGTGCGGTATCCGGGGAGGTCGTCGTCGTCAAGCAAAGCCTGCTTCTCAGCCTTCCGCGCCGGGATCTGGCAGCTGCCGAGCGAAAGCCATGAAGAGATGCGCTTTCCAAGCTCGACACCAGCATCTCTCCTCTTCTTGCGCTCCGCGTGCGTCTCCTCCAAGAACAAAAGTCCGATGATGACACCGAAGAAGACCGTGATGGCACTGAAGAGGTTAGGCAGAAGGTAGGGGAAGCGCTCCCAGATTGTTCCCTTGGGGAACAAGCTGGGAAGGTTCACACAAGGTTCGGCGAGCGCACCGCCAATCATCGGTCCAACAACGGAGCTATCGAAGATTAGACACATGAACCTGGCAAGTGTGACGAGTCGCGTAGTTGGGGTATACTCGTCGCGGAATTAACTTACCCAAGGCACCACACTAAGGGCATGATGGTGTATGCACGAGCTGGTGGATAATTAGTCTCCCTGACCTGTAACCGGGGAAGGATCCGAACTTACGCTGGTGTTCCTTGACAGTGACCAACTCGGCAACAGTAGTTTGCAACACACCAATGTTGCTGTCCCCAAGTCAGTATCCCCGTTTGACAACAGATTCAAAATAGATACATACCCGTTCAGCAGACCACCAAGAGCGCGCGCAATGAGCGCAACGGCCAGATTGGGTGCGAAGCCGAAGACCAGAGAGCTGAGAGCAGTACCGGCGAGACCCATCAAGAGAACTGGTTTGCGCCCAATCTTGTCGCTGAGCCTTCCCCACATGACCCCAGTCGAGAATTCAGCCAAGGTGAAGGCAGAGGTAACCATGCCGGCGTACACGGCGATTTGATCGTCGGTTTCAGCGATGTGGAAGTCGCGGACCATGTGGTAGATGTATGGGAAGATGGACATGAAAGCGATCGGTTCGCAGATTCTGCAAAGAGCTGATTACTCGTGTTAGTCGCAGCTGCGCCCACGCTTCGTGTAAGCCTGGGAGAACTTACCGAGAACAAACATTTGTCTCGCGGGGAAAGGTGGACGGCTCGACTTGGCCTTGCTCCCTGAGGAGCCGCCTCGAGGGCCTCCCGTCATGTAACCTGATCTCTTCATTTTCGGAACTTCTTTGACCATGCGATTCGGGTTCGAAGCGTTGACAGGCCGGTAGGTGAGTGATACCCAGCGTCGGAAGGGTAGACGATAAGAATGCTTGGGCGTTCTCGCAATATATAGCGTTGGCGGAACCCAGAAATAGTTCGGTTGGTCTTGGGTCGAGGGAGACGAGACAGGAATCGCTGTGCAGGTGGTCCAGAATGGTGTGGGCAAGAATTTGTTTTGCCAGTTCTCGTTAAAGGGAGGGAGAGTCTGCGTGTTGAGACTGATGATGTAACCGGAATAAGCAAAGGTGAAAAAGCAAAGGTAAAACAAGTAGCGTAGAGCAGAGCAGCAGAAGCAGAAGCAGAGCTGTAATCCGGGCACCGGTGGCTGAGGGGCTGTGGAAGAAAAGTATCAGACGGTAAAGGAACGAGCAAGCTCTGGGGAAGCAAGCAACTTAATATGAAGGGAGCGCGGACATGATGATGAGAGGACCAAGAGACGTCAAAGCCCAGGGCCACCCCAGACACAGACCAGACCCAGCTGGGTTGGACAGGCCACCGGGACCTTACCATTGCCTGGGTCGCGGAAGCAAATTGGATCTAAGATTGGAACGGCGGTGACCATGGCATGGCCAGCGCAAAAAGCAACAAGACGATCCTCCCACTTGTCCACCGGGGAGGGACTCAGGGAGATGCGGCGGCGAAAGTCCCACGACGTGGGAAGGGGATCCAACTGCCCGGCATGACGGTCGTGGGGCCCAAAAGCCCTGTACCTGATCCAGGGGTACCCCCAAGACGACCTTCGGTGGACTCCCTCTCCATAGAAGCGCGGTCGAAGGATACCCCCTGTCAACCTGGATGTTCGAAAGGCGGTCCCAAGCCACGAGCTTTTGCCTTACAGCTGTGGGTACGTACACGACGGGGCCAGTACCGAGTGACCTGAACCATGGGTACCCGGGTGAGATTTCGTGGGACAAGCCGACATTGTTAGCAGGGTGAGTGGTGAGTGAGAGAGCCTGCGTGGTGTGTGGTGTGCGTCTGTCCCTTGGCCTCTCTGCATTTCTCTCTCTGCATCCCTCTGCGTTGCTCTCGGTACGTACCCGACAGACCGACACGACCGGAGTAGGCAAAGTAGGCAAGGGGTGGTAGACTCGGGGAAGGATGGCGCCAGACCGGTACAGGGATCTCTGGATTTGGAGAGGGAAAAAAAAAAGGTTTCACAAGAGGCAACGAGGCTAGTCAAGCCCTGATGGGACTGGTCTGGGTTGGGACAGAGGGAGACTTTTTCTTTTGGGGGGGTCAGCTCTCGGAATGGGGTGTATGGTTGTGTGGGTAGTTGCAGGCGGTAGCAGGAAGGAAAAGAAAAAACAACAGACGGAAGAATAGAACAATGTGTGCTAAGCTGCAGCTCAGAGCAATGCAATTGTTGTAGTCGATGGCCGCTGCGTAGCAGCTACTTGCCCATCAAGTACAGAGACTGCAAACGCAGGCAGATGCAAACGCAACGACAACTACGTCCACAACCGCCGTCGCCGTCGCAGTGTGGTGATTGACTCTCGTCACAACGTTGTTGTTCTTGTTGCTGTTGTCTGTCCCATATTTCCTTCCTGCTTGCTTGACTCTAAGCGCCTGCGAGAATCTCTGTGTCTCTGTGATGCCATAGGACTGCGTAGGCCCGACCCTGGTCCTGTTGTTGTCTTGACATCAGGTTTTTTTTCTCGTCCCTGGTCGTTGGGCAGTCAACTCCAGATACTGGGCGGCCAGGACACAAATGAGTTGAAGCCGTGCCAGGGCGAACATCAAGCCAGGAACCGCAGCATGTACATACTGACTGTATCCGCAAACGAGATGCAAAGTGTCCGCGACTCCGCGATGTGAGGTGCGCCGTACAGCGGCACGTAAGGTCAGGTCGTAGTCTGCGTGCAGCCCAAGTTTTACACCCCCCGGCACTTGGGTCGCATGGCTCTGCTGCAGCAGGGGCTCGACATTGGATTGTTGGACTTCAGCGACAAACCACCGCCCGAGGGCTGGTCAAACGCTAGTGTAATGTCCAGAGGACATGGGGAAAATGCCCAGGTTGACCCTGTGGCTCAGCAATAGACCGCCTCCTTAGCACAAGTGAACTAGACCTGATCCCCGCGCTGCCTGATGTTTTGCGGTGAGCAGCCAGTGCAGGACGTTAGGTTTGCTGCCTCTAATTGGGAGAGGTGGGACATCCACCGCGGATGGTCCTGAGCTGCCCTCCAGTACAACGACGACTGGTGAGTGACGGTACCTATCGTTGGGCGACGAGGAGGTGGGACGGGGACGCGGGTACGCCTCCTGTAGCACGCGGAGCTTATCACGCCCCAGAGACTGTGCATCAGAGCGCCGAGGATCTGAGCAACGAAGCTTGCTGATTGAGCCACCTCGTCCCTCGACTCCCATCTTGATGAAGCGGTGAAAGGAACGGCCAGGGCTGCGGCGTTCCCCGGCCGGATATCGACAGCTGTTGCACCAATGCTGCCTTGTAAGAGAAGAGAACATTTCGAATCCAAAGAAGGCGCTGCCGCTGCCCATGCCCATCATCGATTCGGAGACCGTTTGCCGAACTTTTTTGGAGCCTCGTTCCGATCGACCTGCAGGCCGTTCGTGGATCTTGCGCTCGCGGCCAAGTGCACACATGATATGCGGCCATTTATTTGATTGTTTCGGCGCTGATGCTGAATACGAGAGAAAAAAGTATCCGTAGTCATACAATCTTCTCTGCCTACAGCGGCCGTATGTTACCGTGTGGAGATGTGCGCCTCAAACGTCGCACGGGTCTATCGGCCGAGACGTGTTTCCGCCTGTGAATCGTACCGCACATGTCCAGCATTGGTATGTGATGTGACGTCTGATAATGGCGACTCTCGGGTTGCAGCTTGCTCAGGCGCCGCACGGCAGAGGGGCTTGTTGGTTGCATGCACCCTGGCCACGACGGCTTCCGGTTCAAATGCCAATGACAGACGAGGTGTGCGCGACCGAGTGCCCAACGGCGTCTAGAGACGCACAGCGGAGGGATACCCGAAGACATCGACTTGCTAGACCGGGGGAGTGCAAGCCAAAATTTGAATTTCCATACACCCACACATCCTGCCATTCGTCGCTCCATCAAGGAGTCATATCGTGACATGTCCGCATCTTACTTGCCGCGCACCGAGTCACTTGATGCTGCATCTTACTCCGCCGCAGGATGGGGGCAGTTGTGTTGGCAAACAGTCAGCCTGTTTGCTTGCCGTCTTGTTCGCCGACAGTCGCCTTGCTTTACGTTGCCCTGGTTTCCCTTCACCGTCGGCGTCCTGGCACCCTGGAATACCTAGTCCACCAGACCGACACGTCGGCACCTGAAACTTTGAGCACTCACGTGTGCTACTGTCAAGCGCTTGTCACTGAATGATTGACGTTGTCCCAGCGTGGTCATGACGGTCCCACGCAGCATGGGATGGGGCCGCACGAAATAACCCTGGTGTCACGTTGATTAACGGCGAGGGAGTGGGAATTGGGGATTGAACCAACGGACTGGGCCAACATGGACTGGGTCGGCCGCAGCGTTGGCCCTCTCCAGAGGCATCCAGCTTGTCGGTGAGCAAGTGAACACGAGCCACAGCAAATGAGTTGGCCGGGGTAATTATGAGTTGGAAAAAGTCTTTTTTTTCGTTTTCCAATAAAGCTTATGACCCTGGTCCGCCGACGGTCATCTCGTTGAACATGCACCCAGATCGTAATTATGAGCAATTCCGATCGCCTTGCTTCAGGACCTGCAAGTTAGGTAAGACCCTTCGTCAAGTTCGTCTCGGGTACCGACAACGGACTGAAGACTCCTCCGACCTGACGGATTTTTTGGCTCCTGTGCCGTCCGTAGGGTTTTCGCGTGTCCGGCATTACACAGGAAAGCGCTCGGACTCATTCGTCACGCTCGACTGATTGAAAAATATCATGTGGGCGTCGCGGAAGCCGGAACGGTAAGTGATAGACAGGAGTTTGCTGCTTTCCAACTTGCCACTTTCAAAATTGACGGTCCATCGGACAAGGTCAAGGGGCTGAACGTCAGCACAGAGTTTGAAAGGGGAAGCGGAAAAGTGAGAGCGTTGGTTGGCGTGGGTGTGGGTTTGTGCTTGGGCTTGGGCGTGGCGGGTTTCGAACGACGTGACAGTGTGCTTTGCCCTCGCTGCTCACCATCTCCTCCCCCACTGTGCACCGTCGTGTTCCAACATCGAGCCCAGAACCGAGGCCTACCCCAGCTCAAGGATATGAGCGAAATGGGTTGGCGAAGGCTGATCCCTGTTCAAAACCATGTGGCATGGCTTATATCATTCCCCGAGCTGCATCACCAGTCCCTAAAACCTCTGCTCTGTCAGGGATAGCTGTGTCTGAGGTCTACCGCGCGGAGAAACACAACGGTGGCTGCAAGTAGGGAGCCTCATGCGTGGACATCGTGGTGTTACTGACTTTGGCGAGATCAACCGTGCTTTCAGCTTTAACCAGACTTTGCCAATCTGCAGCCTCCAGTTCTCGCAACGTTTCTTCTTTCCACTCATCATGTCAATAGCCCGTTTGACCGGTAGTCATTGAATCTTGCAATTAGCCACCATTCAGACTTACTGCCCGCACAGCGTCAAAGTGTTCGCAATTTGACGTGAAAGGCGTGTAATGGTAATTGCACTTTGATTTCTGCCCAGCCTGGTCCGGATGACATCCGCGCTGTCGCCGTTGGGAAATCTGGTGCCACTTTGGCGCTCCATAGTCACAGCTTTGGCTTTGGACTTGTCGCCAGCGTAATTTGCGAGCCTCGTCGACCGAAGAAGCAAGCTGCGAGCGACAAAGAGCGCCAACCAAGTCGGCCCGCAAAACGAAATGGCGGTGATCCCCTCTTAGGTTAATCACAATCAGGGAAATTGGCATTCGTCTCTGTGCTAGATCAGGGGTACCCGGTCTCGCATCCCAGTCCGCGTCCAAGCACCCCCATACGACCGTCTCTTTGGGCCCTGATCGGGC